TGTTGTTGTTGTTGTTGTTGTTGTTGCAACCCTCTTTGGCGGAGTAAGAGCTGGCACATATGAAGCCCAGCGCGGTGCTGCTGCGACCGGTTGTGTGCCAGCAACGTAAATCTGAGAACACCAAAGCACCTCAACAAAAACTGAACAAACACAACCAAACACTGCAATCCCCCAAACAAAAGCTATCGGGCATCTCCCAATGCATTTCCCTCAGGCTGTGTTTGTGTGTTGTTGATTGACTTTTCCTACGGGTTTGAGCTTCTCAAGGGAGCGTGGTTCAGGTATCATGATTCAGTACACAGAGTGAACAATGCGGATCCCTGCGTGGTCAATGCTCCCTACGAGATGTAACTGGGGTTAGCCCCGCAGCCTCGTTCTAAATGCTAAGGCCCTCACAGGGAGATTTGGAGAAAGTCTGAGAGTTGGAAGCTGCCGGGTCAAAATTCTCGCGGAACCTGTAGATCTGGCTCTCTCTTGCGGCACTCCCTAAAGCGCTGATAAACAGACCATGGAGAAAAGACGGCAAAAATGGAAAAGAGGGCCGCCCCCCGTGGCAACTGATTTCTTAATTGGCTCGCCACACTTCGCACGCACACCGGATGGCACCTGCCCCCCGCCGAAGACGATGAGGTAGGGGTGATCCACGGCTCGGCGCAAAGAGGTCAGCAGGTCGAAGATGTGGGCGTAGTTGTGCCTGTGAATCGGTCAAAAGCCAACAAGACATTGTACATTTAGGGCTTGTTCCCTGATTGTTTTTGTTGATTGCTTTTGTTTTAGGGGATTCTAGCCAGTTTCCTCTATGTCCCTCCAAATTGGACCATAGACTACCGGCCGCCAGTACTCCCTTCTTGGGGAGTAAATTGGGGACGATTGGCGGCCATTGGGAATGATTTTCCGTGGCTCCCGCTTGCCATGGCTCTGTATCAGTATTGGAGCGAAATAGAAAAGAGTCCAAGTAATTACACCATATTTGACTCTTGGTGTTTTGGGCAAATCGGCGTCGTACCCATATGCTGGTTTGGGCGAAAGGGATTCTTCAAGTACAAATTTCCAATCGGACACTCTGGGCATTTGAGGTCCATTCAAAGCCATCCCACGAAGATGCCACGCAAATACAAGGGATGGGAAATGGCTTGAGTCCCCACATAAGGTTTGGATCAGTCCGCCTCAGACCCGCTAACAGGACTCCAAAGTAGGCCAGTTTACTCCCATATGTCGCTGTTGGTGGTCCTTTCTTGGTTGAACCGCGTGTCCTGGGCTGAGCCGAGACAATAGGTGTGCATATTTTGGTTTGGTCAATTTGAAGGGAAGTCAAGAGTCAAAGGGCAAGCCACATTTTCTCGCATCTCATTCCTGTTCCAAAACGCACCCAGGGTGTTCTCAAGTGATCGAAGGTTTACTGCTCAGCTTTCAACTCATAAGCCAAAAGGGAACAGCTGCTTTGTGATAAGTGCGAACATACATCTCTCCCAGGAAGGTACGAAGTTTGAAGGTGCAACCAAGTAGGATGTGACGCATGATTGTATTGAACATCCCTCAGTGCATATTGATGTGCGCCATGGTGCTTGTATTCTGTGTGCCATGGATCATAGTGATTCAGTCCACCCTCCAAATGGTTGACCCACCTTGTTGGCTTGTCGCATGACCTGATTAGACTTCAGCGGGGGCTGCGTCGCTAGATTAGTCAGGTGCCCCAGAAGCCACCCAAGCGATCAAAAAGCTGAGGCTTAGAAAGCCAAAGACAAACGAGCGGCAAAGGCTGTGATGTGTTGGGGTTTCCTGTCGTTGGGGTCCCAGGACCAAGGCACCCCAAGACTTCCAGCTGCGTCCCGGCACCATATATGAACTCACCTGATTATTAGTTGCATATGAAGTTGCCCAATTTATGATTGCTGAAACCCCCTCTGATTTTCTTTTTTCTGCCGCTTGAATTGCAACTCAAAAATCGACCCTACTCACCTGGTGATGCGTCCAGCCCGCCCTTCGGCATGTAGACATCAGCTCTTTGCCCAACGAGCTTGGCATCATACGCTTCTTCCAAGAATAATCTACCCAAAGGCACCCATTTGACGTGTTGTAGCTCCCTGTTTCAAATCTTTGTTTGCCCCTTGGTTTCTATGCCTTACGTTCAAGCTGCATCGATGATTTGTCACCAAACCAACCAACAAAGCAAACTGCACTGACCAAACGGAAATAACTGAACTAACCCCAATAACTTTAGTGCACGTATTCAATCTTTTTGGCTACTGTGAGGGCCCAGGTATTACCAGACATTACCGCTTTCCATAGAAACCAACTCCCGGGAAAATAACTAAAACTTAACAAATTACAAGTGTAATTCCAACAGATACCAAAACACGCACCTCTCTCATCCTCCCACGGATCTGCTATCCCTTGTGGTTTCTGCTTTCTGGAAGGTCACAATTTGGCATTTCAGCAGCCAGACATTGGTTAACCCCCCCAAACAAATAAAACCCGATAGAGCCATGGGCCATAAAATCCGGGCTGCAGCACGGTGCCGGAGTGAACGAAGGTGTCGAACTTGACCTAAGACTTGAAGCCGGGCTCGCACCAACCATCCCCTCCAACTTGGCAAGAAGATCCAATGTTGGATTCTATCTCGTTTAATCACAGAATACAAGGGCAGGGATTATAGTGGGTTGTGGGTACTGTACATCCAAATGCAGACATTATCATAGGGGGAACATCTTGGAAACTATCTGGCCCCTCATATTACCTTATGGCCCTCCTCACCTAGGGACACTCTGAAAACAGCTCGGAGAGTAAGCTTCATGCCATCTGGGTCAATTCGAATCTCAGTTTCTGAGTGGACTGCTCAGAAAAGGAGACAATGTTTCGTGTCTGCCACCAAAGTTGTCTTCCCCATTGGTCATCTGCAAACGAGTCTGCAGATCACTTGCCAGCCACACCAGGAATCTGCCATCCTGCTCAAAAGTGGAAATCATGGAATCTATGAGGAAAGAGCTCAGCATGTGTTCCCTACCAAGTCCGCATGGCACTATGAGGCGTGCCAGCACGAGCCACGCGCATATTGCCTTGCCAAATGGAGCCAACCCCAGGTGATTTGCGGAGTGAGCAAATCGTGTCCAGTCCCTGATAATTGAAAGTTGAAACAGTCCTTGCTCAGTCCCAACGACATGTCCAACGAAAAATATGGGCAAGGTCGTCTTTCCCTTTTTTCTCCTCTAACTTCAACCCCAACGGAGGTCCACCATGTTGGGAGATACTCCTCTGCACACCTGGAAAATACAACGGGCCGCCGACTCTGCCTCACATGCCCATGTGCTGTCAAGGTGCGCATGACCTGGGCTCAGACACATGGAGCGACAGCTACATGTGCTTCAGTCCAAGAGCAGCCGACATATGCCCCAAAAGACACGAACAAGGCAGTCAAGTTCAACTCTTCAAGGCCAATACCAAGAATGCTGAACAGGTGGGGGAACTGCAACAAATCAAAAGCCGAGTATATCCACTTATCGGAGCCAGTGCCAAGCCTGATAAGCCTGAAAAGGAGAAAGACATTGGGAACTTGAGCCGGGGAAACACGGAAACACCGATGCGATGAAGAGAAAAAACGCGTTGAGCCGGCCGCTTGCTTATGCCACTATTGTTCAAGAACTTGTGGTTCCCCTTTGAAAGGGCAGATGTCCAGCTGTACAAGATGTGCAACTAACCCTGAAATGATCCTTAAAACAACCGCCAATGACGGATGTGCACATGTGCCTTGCTCTTAAAACCAAGAAGGTTTCTTTTTGTGGGGTTCCCCCTCAAATTTTGGCCTTCAGGCTACGGCGTTGCCATTCTGATCCATTCCTTGATGCCTGCCCTTGGGGCGTCCTAGACCTTTGTGTAGACTTACCAAGGTGGGCGCCTGTTGACACCTCATTTCTCACAACAGCACGAAGACCAGCAAACAAGACTACAGAACACATATGTGCTTGGCATCTTGACGCTGATCAGGTTTCTTTGGAACCTTCCGTGCGTATAGAGCCTTTGATGTCGCTCCGCACAAGTCCGAGCTTTGTGGGCGTTTTATTTGCTCCGGGACTCTGAATGAAACCTGACCCCAAATCGGCCCAGCGTAGCGTTCTTGTGCTAGGTGGGCTATGACCATTTGGGTTCGCCCCCGCCAAGTTGTCGGCTTCCTTTGGATGTGGGAATCCCTTTAAAGCCATCAAGAAGCGGCCATTTCAAGGGAGCACAACCCATTTTGCACTTCCGCTCGTTTTTGCAAACACCCTCTCCGCGACCTGGCTGATTTCATGTTGGGTAGGTACGGGTCTCAGTGCAATGGCTCAAGGGATCAAATGGCTATCGCTCAGCCCACAAGCCAAGCTTTCACCGTGACAGGACTGAAAGCAAAGTCAGTGAAGTATACCCTTTTAAGGGTTTGGACATGTATCCAGAATTTAGGGGTTGACTGAAAGGCATTGGAGACTCCAGGTCCATATTTTGGAATCAGTAGTCCGGGCGGGTTCATCCAAAAACGGTAAATGTTGATCAGACTTCTCCCCCTAAACATCCCGTCCCAGCCAAGAAGGGAAACACCGCATCTGACCTGCTACAATCATTCCATCAATATCCTTGCATTGTAGAACATCCACCAACCAATTTTGAGAGTGTTCACCATCAAAGTTCAGCGCCACAAATCGCCAAGGCCTTCCTTCTTGTCCACAACCAGCTTCGCACATGCACGCAAAATTCAAGATGCAAGCGAGTGTGGTATACTTTTGCTGACAAAGCTTGACACCGACAAGTTGACCAATATCTGAATATCTGAAGATGGGTGTGTCAAATAGGGGGACGCCCCTAAATGGGTGGCTTTCTCTGCTTCCGCGTACCCCCCCCTGCAAAGGGTACGTGTGATGTGATGCAGGTCAGGTGCCAAACACCTCGTGTTCCACGGGACATTCCTGGCCATGAAACGAGTTGGCCATGGAAAAGTGGGAACCCCGAATCCCTTTAATTTAACATGAGTGTCAACTCCCGAAAAGGAGCCGTACTGTGGTGCGCGGGCCAAGCGGCTGCATGTAGATGCTGGAATAGAAGTCGGTCTCCTCACACTTGAAGGACCCAAACAAAAATGTGAAGTTTGGGACTCGGAAATGAGTCGAAGAGAAAAACTGAGGTCCATTTCAAGGCCCTGTGATTGGGATGGTCACTACCCAAGCCTTGTGTGTGGGTATCTGCCAAAGGGATCTTAGGGGCCTCAACTGAGGTTGATCGATTTTTAACCGGGGAAGTGTGTCCCAAGGGAAAACGGGCCGGTTGTGATGAGAACTGACGTTCTGCTTTGGATCATGGGTCTGCTGTAGGACACTTACCATGGTTGTCTTGCTTGCCTATTGAGAAGCTCGCCAATCCTACGCCTTCTTCCCAAGTGTTCGCCGAGATCGAACGTTTGCTTCTGCACCCAGACAGTAAACTGCAGCAAAGGTGTCAAACCATGCAGCACAAAAGGGCGGTAATTAAGCCACTTATTGGAACCAATTCCCACGAGAAAAAAAACAAGTTTGGCTGTGGCTCATCTGAATTTTGCGGAGGGTCCTTCATGTGGCTAAGGCTTGAGCCCATCTATCTGCGAAGTGCGATATATAATTCCAGCTGCCTCGCAACAAATCGGCAAGACCGCGCTCCTGCTTTGAGAGCTTGTCCTTGCGAATCAAGACCTGGACATATGCATGGAAAGCTACATGTGGGCAAAAGCCAGTTGTCGGACCAAATGCTGTTAACAGAAAACAAACGCGAGTAGGTGCAATAATGGTGTTCAATCAGGCACATCCGTCTACAACGCATACGTGCATGGCCGTTCCAGCTAGCTGGTGAGGGCTCGAGTTGGCCCCTTTTTGAATGGTTGAACCAACATAGTATAACGCTCATACACAACCAATATCATGCTTGTGTATGGAACTGGGTAATATCACAGCATGGTGTTGTTTTGCCCCTCAGTGCTCATCCAAAGAAAAGTAAGGCGCAGCAAACAACCCTACGTGGGACTCTGCTAGCTCATCTTGCAAGTACGAGTGCGGGGTGTGTGAGAGTAGGGGCAATCACCCCAACCTTCAGATGGTGTTTGAAGGACATCCGGAAGAACATCACTTGTTCGAAAGGCGATTGAAGAAAATCTAAAAGAAAGCCAACTACTCCGCTCGCAAGATCCGTCCAACTTGGGCGGCAACAAGCCCAGGGCGACATGCAACTCTCTTCAACGAAACCACACAAAAAACTGGCTTTGGAGGAGGACTCCCCCCCAAAAAAACACACACACACACACACACACACACGAAATCCCCCCCCCCGGGGGCGCCTTGATGGGCGGCAGCTTGAGGTCCTCCTTCCTCTCCTCCTTGGTGCGCCGCAGCATGCACTGCTGCAGGATGCCCTCGGAGGCGTATCCAGGGCTTGCGAGGCTTCCGCAACGGGACCCTGAAGAAGGGGACCGGGTCGGTGCGTGACACTGGGCGTGTTTGGGGAGTAGCCACATCTGCGTGGGGAAGATGAAAATAGACCAACCTTGGAGGTGTGTTCGAATATTTGGGGACTCAAACACTCGTAAGCACTAAAAAAGACTCAAATTCACAGTGCCAGCAACATCATGTAACACATGTTGTTTAGAGACCCCAACCCAAAAAAAACGAACGGCGCGTCTGGCCCATGCCACGCGGGGATTTTCGAATTCCGCCTCCCGGAGCTTCTGGAAGGCGGTCTTGCCGGCGCCCATGAAGCCGAACTTGATGATGGGGTTGGACCTAAGCTGACATCAACAAAGAAAACGGAGCTCTAGTTCATGGCATCAACAGGGGGGGAAGGGAAAAACAAAAGAAAACCTCTTTGAGGTGCCTTATCATAGAATCAACAACAGAAACAGAAACAAAAGGAAACAACTAACTCTTTGAGGTCCCTTGTCTTTGAGGTCCCTTGCGCAATCGATTGCGGGGCTGGGAGTGTTCGAATCGCCGAGCGACTGCCTAGGGATGTGGGAAGATGGAACCCCAGGCTCATGTTGCTTCCCTCACCTGAAAAGTCTTCTTTGGATCCCAAAAAGGCAACTTGTTCGGGTTTTGGGGCAAACCAAAGGGGGAAGGCTTGGTCCAGGTTGCGGCTTCGCAATTCCGCACCCAAGCATCTGGAGCACTTTGAAGGGAGCCTGAAACGGATGTTGTGCCCTTTGCTTCGTTGCCCCTGTTGGGCTAGGAAAGCTTGATCAGGGCCCCCCAGACTGGACCTGGCCCAGTCTGATTCTACTTGCCCAGCAGGGAAGATATCTCATTTTTCCGGTCTCAGTGTCTAGTCCAATGGATTCAAACGCCTTGTAGACCTGATGTGCAAAATGCCTGTATGCAAATTCCATTTTCACATTGATGGAAGGATGTGTTCCTTTATGGAACCCTGTGTGGCGTCTTCCATACACTACCTCTCAGGGGCACTAGCAAGGGAAGTGCCTAGCCTTTGTTTGAACACGTTTGAACGCTCTTTAAGTAAGCTCCTTTTGGCTCCGTTTTCAAGGGTACTCTAAGTGCCCGAATCGAGTTGTAGGATCTGGTACTTTAACACCGAATTAACTCATGAGCGTAGATTGGCTTCAGGTATTCAATTCCTTTCCGAATTCAAGGTTTAGGGTTTGGGGTTTCAAAGCGAGATTCGCCAATCGCGGCTTTGAAACCCTAAACCCAGGAATTGATTAAACCCTAAACCCGAAACCTTGAAGTTGCTGCAGCCAATTGCGCCAAACGCTCGCAACTGCCATTCCGATCGTTGCCGAGCTGCACGTCCCGCTTGAACGAGGAGTAATGCCTCGGATTCGCGAAGGTGAGGCACCTGAACCCTACACAAAGCGAACAACGCTGCGTGCCGTTTGTTTTTTGGTTTGGGAGGTACCCTCCCACCAACTAACATGGAAGTGTGCAAAGCCCCTTTCCAAGAGGAAAGTAGCCTTGCTGAAGGGGTTTGCGCACTTCCATGTTTGTGGGTGGGAGAGTACCCTGTTTTGATTGGTACGAAACGGGGACCACACAAAGAAGAAAACACGATTTGTGAGGTCCCTGTGTGCGAACAAATCTCAGTCGGGAATGAGGACATGACCTCAAACTGAACCATCCCTGGCAGCTTCCTTGAAGGAGATCCCTGGTTCACTCCTGAAACCTTGAAATTCCCTACTGAGAACCAGCAGCATGATAAAAGCCCCGAAACTGACCCCCTCTCAAATCGAGTGGCCTCCACTCTTTGTACCACACAAGCACCCACCAAATATTGCCACAACGACCCTGGCACAAGGCAAAAGCAGTTTCCTCCCGGGATGAAAACCGACGGAATGGATTAACAATCCCTTGATCCTGCATGGCTAAGGGCTTCCAGTTACCCACTATAGTATGCCATCAAGGAAAACCATCATGGAAAAGCTAGATGCAGGATTCCTTACACGCCACAGTGGTAAGTATAATTTTAGATGCACGTGCGCACAAAGCGCAGGGGATGCCGAGCCCGAGCCGCAGGAACCGCACATGGCCGCAGTTGGGGCAGTAGCGGTCCCGCATGAAGCAGGCGCATTCGCACTTGCAGCCCTGCGCCAAAATCGGCAGGCTGAAGGGAATGTTCAGGTTGTTGGGAGGCGTGGAGGTCACACATACAACTCATTCAAGGATTATAGCCCCGATGAAACTGTGGGGTTAAGCTTAATATTTGTTTAGTTTTTGTCGAGCGTATAGCTTACACCTTTTTGGGCGTCAAGTATGTGTCCCTGATACTGTTTAGAGGGATTCCTGTTCCTACGCCAAGTGTGACATTGGCAATGGCCACGCTCGAGGTTGGCCTTGCGACGAGTGCCTTCTGTAGCTCCAGATGTAGCTCAAGGGCCCTGTGCGGGAGTGGCAGATGAACAGCATGTATTTCACACCGAGGGTATCGGACCACCGCGGGGGATAAACAAATGGGCCATCCTGTGGGAAGGAGTGCCAATCCAAGCGCTTGAGAAAGCGGGAAGCGGCAAATTCGGATTTCAAAGTCCCGCTGATTGACACAGAACCCAACGTCCCCCGAAAGGAGATTCCGTCCGGTTTGGGTTCCAGGTTCTGTAGGCGAATGGGACCTGGATCTTTTGGGTTGTGGACAAAGCTCGGTGTTGCCACGAAATCAACGCCCATTTCTCTACGGGGGTCGTAGTATTTCCTCCCACACATTGCACCATCCAAATAAATCAAGCGGAGCCCACTGTTTCAACAAGGTAATAATAACATTGCATTGTGTTCAAACAAAAAGGAGAGTCTAAGGAAGCCCATGAAGCCCCAAATAAATCAAGCACCATGCTCGTGTGGCGAATCAGAAACACCGAGCCAGCATTCCAACCCCAGTTTCTCTCCCCCCCCTCCCCGTTCTCCTCCTCAGCCAACCATAACATGATTTCTTCCGAAAGCCACCAAAGTAAGATGCCCAACCCCCAACACCCAACCCCCAAGGAAAGTGAGACCTTGGGTCTCTCCGATGCCTGCTTCTTGCAGTAGTAGAAGGCGTAGGGCCGCACACGCAAGAAGCCTGTGCCCCGGAACCGTCAGTAACCTCTTCCCTGCTCCTCCCTGGTCCCAACTGATTCCCCCCCCCCGAAACCTCAGGCTCTCAAACAAAGCAGACAGCAGCGGGTGCACGGTGCATTGGGCAGGTTGTGGCCATGCAATCAGAGCAGTCCCAATTTAACGTACCCTCGTAATGCTGGTCAAGGTGTAGTGAGTGAAACCTCAAAGGCAACATTCAATTGCCAGACATTGGGTGCCAAACAGTGTGAAGCATGGTTAATTGATCAATCTGTCAAACTCGTGTTGCCGCTTGATTGTTCGGATTCCCCTGTACAATAAACACAAAACTGGACTGTGAGAAAACGACAAGGGGCCATTCTGCAAACGGACCAAGGACCCCAACATGGCTTAGTTCCTTTTTCTGAATTCACCTTCTCGGGGCCCTAGTGTTAGTTGTTGGACTTACGCGCCCGTAAAGGACACGCTCGAGGGCCTGGTGGTTTTGCTTTGGATTCTCGCTTGCCGGAAACAAGGGTGCCGCGACCATGTTTAGCTGAGTAAACACAGATTTTGATGATGCATGCTTGACAACAGACTGCATCGAAAAGCATACCGATGAAACACGTGTCCGCAGGGCGGCTTTTGTCAGATTTAAGCACATTGGGCTGATGCAGCCCAAAAGAAGGCCTTGTTTTGCATTGCTTTCTAGGCACGGATCAGCGAGTAGAGCTCGCCCACCCGGTTTTGCAGCGGAGTACCCGTCAAGCACCACCTCAATGCAAGCTCGCTAGCCGTACCGGAAAAGGACGCCGCTTTCGCTTATTGGTTGGTTTAAAGAGAACCCCTCTCTCAAATGGAGACATATCCGACCCAGAAGTTGAACGATTTCAGCGAGCAGCCGCTCAATTACAAAGGATTCAACCTGCTCCTCCAAAGCACCACCCTGCAAGAGTGCGCAACTCAGGAAGTCAAAAGACGGGGGCCCTTGGACCTTCCGCGAAAACGATACAACTGACGGGAACTGATCTTCCTATTGTGCTCCTTCAAACACCCCCTTAAACATCAGTCCACCAAGTGTTACATCCACCACAGAAGAACACAACAAAACCTGCAACAATTGCTTTTGTGTCCATTTTAGTAACTTTACGATCTGCTTCTAGATGTGGGGAACCCCCCAACATGGGCCTTTCCCTTTAATTTAAAACCAGACCAAGAGGGGTAGTTGCCACGCCGGCTCAGTGGGCTCGTGTTAATGTGGAAAATACACGGGAGTGCTAGTATCTGGAGTCGTTTCCCTGCGTCGTGGCAAAAGAGGATGAGCCCTTCTCTTGATCGACAGTAAATATCCAAAGATTTCGACCCCTGGCAAGGGAATTTGCCAGGTGAAGAAGGGCAAGTGGAGAAAACTGCAAAGGTGGAAAGTCCACCAGCCAAGCCACCTTCAATTTCCGGAAGCCACCCGAACACCTGCGAAGGGAGAACTGGCACCCTGATTTTATCCAAAGTTGCCACCCATATACTTTAAAATGAAACAGCCCCAGTTGACTTCGACAAACCCTAGAAAAACCATCTAAAATCATGACCCGCGCAAAAAGCAAACAGCAGCCGTCCCCCCCCCCCGGTCCCAGGCGCTTGTAGCCCTTGGAGGTCTGCAGCGCATAGGCCGCCAGCGCCGTGCTGTTGGTGCGGCCCTTGATGCGATGGGCCTGGCCGAGCTCCGACCAGGAGTCTGGGTGCGAATTTGGGGTTTGATATAAGACCGGTACAGCTTGGTAGGGGCGTGGTGCGGGTTTCGTACGAGTTTGGGTGTGGGCTTGGGAAATCTTGGGTGCGATTGTGGATTTGGGTTTGGGGTGGCAACATGGACCGCGCAACTTGCAACACGTGGGACATGCACAAACACATGGGCTCCTTGCAAACAAGTAGGGCTTGGAATATCTTGGGACATCTTGCCAAACAATGGGAAACTTGACAAACAATGGGAAACTTGACAAAACAGCTGACAAACCGCACAAAACAGCTGACAAACCGGACAAAACAAGCTTACAAACCCGACAAAAAAAGCTTACAAACCTGACAAAACAGCTTACAAACCTGACAAACCTGACAACCGTCCAAAATGAGATCACAAACCGTACAAAACAGCTCAAAAACAGCTCACAATGGGGATCTTACAGACAAAATGGTAACCTTTTGGCAGCTCGGACTCCCCACTTCCGCTTCCGCTTGCCTCGTCGAGGATCACCCGCGCCCATTGGATGCTGTGCAGTGGGGACTCGGCGAGGTCCAGCTGCGAGCCTTCGAAGGTCTCCTTGCCGCGGGCTGAGCGCAGGAATTCCCCGTGGAGCCAACCCGTGGCCAGTGGGTTTTTATGTTGGAGAGGAGAGCAAAGGAACCAGCCTATCAACAACCAAACGGAAAACATCCCATTCTCTGGTTTTGTAGATAAGAAAAGGAACCAGCCTTCAACATTTCACAGGGAAATGGCTGCTATGGGCATCTGGGATCCACTGGGATCAACACAAGCTGCAAACAACTCGGTCACGATTCTGGATGGTTTTCGAAAATTCCTGAGTGGATTGCCCAAAAGTCGTCTAGACTGTTCGTTTGCCACTAAAAAATGGCCTTCTCAACAGGTTTGACTTGATCTCAGGAAGCGAGTTGGAAGCGGCTTCGAGAAACAAAGGAACTGCACGCGAAATCTATGATACCAATATGGGTCATTCCCATGGCTGATGTATCACTTTGAAAGGGATGACCTTGGTCTCATAAAGCGGCCCTGAAACCCTATTTTGCAAAATCATGACTCCGAGTGTAGCAACAGTCTACCTGAAAGGTGTAGAGAAATGAAGTGTAGCAAACCTAGTCTCAAGCTGGTGCCCTTTGCTCAGGCTTAGCTTTCTCCATGATCAGCCGTTTTCAGGCGAACAGCAACCTTGCAAACAACCGACGGTTGACTCCTGCCCATTTAGGATGGTGCATGCATTCTGCTGCAAGAGTAGAATACCTTCTTGGGTGTCCCTTTGCATCAGGTTGGTCCAGCCCTTGTTTAAACATGCTTCAAGCGCAATTGTTCGAACAACTTCCATCAACGGAACAAACGTTTATGAACAGCAAGCAAACGGCAACAAGTTGTTGCTATCAAAGGCAAACACGCAAATCAACAAAAACTGTCAAAACATAATGCATCCAATGGATGGTGATGGCTGACAAAGCCTGTCTTCCTACTTTGCACCAGCCATACCCACTGAACCACAGGGAGCAGGCAACCAAGCTAGCAAGTTGACGCGCACCAACTTGCAAGCTACCCACCCACCCAAACCCCGAACAGCAATTGCCCAAAGCTAGCCCGCCAGACGAGGCGCATACCCTTCCTGAGGCAAGCAATGAAAAGGCATGGGAACCCAATAAACCTTCAGCCTGCAGATTAACGGACACCACCGCAAACATCAATGGCCCAGTTCCAGTCTCACTTGTTCTTAGTGGGGAACATGAGTTGCTCAACCACCCAACCATTCCCTACAAGAAACCAGTAATGGTTTGTAAAGGGTCATTTCCAAATTCCCGAACTAAGAACAAGCAAGTAGGAACGGGATCTCCTTTGAGAAGAAAACTAGTCAAACTGGGAATGATTCACAATTCGGAGAGCAAGGTGCCAGTCTGGTGCTTTTGGGTGCTGGCAGAGTGCTGAAGGGTGAAATTTGTTGAAAGGGGGACAAACACTTTCTAAGAGGTTAGAGGGTAATTTCATCACAAAACCTGGCCTCATCGTTTTACCATGATCCCAAGTGGTAGGCTAAAGGGAAACAACCATCCCGTGTGCCGACTTTGGTCACCCCCAGAAACAAAGTCGCCAAGTTGGTTCACAAGCCTCTGCCAGTCTCCGCGGTCTCAAAAATAACTTCAGGAAACCATTGGAGTCTGCTGGAAGCCTCACGTGACATGTCAACATTGTGGAGCTTTCCCCTGGAGCACGGTTTTTGCATGAAATCTAGTGAGCCCCGTTTTGTTTGAAGGGGTTTTTTTCCCTCATAAACGGACCATAGACTGAACATGTTGACTAAACATTCAATGCGCTGACGACCTTATCGGAAAATGCAATGCCCCCTAGACGAACTTGTTTGCTCCTAGATTTCATCGCGAATGGCCCTTTCTGGGTCCGAGCAAAGCTAACAAGCCCGTTGCAATATGTGGCCTGGAAAAGGCTATTTGGGACACCGTGGTTTCCAAAGCCACAAACAACAAGGGAATTACTACAAGGATTCGCTGAATGGTGTTGCCATGGCCCGTGTGGTTTTTGTAACTTGAATGAACAAGGGAACAAAAAGGAGGGAGGTACCTCGACGTACACAAGGCTCAAAAGCACTGAAGTCGATGCCAACACATGGACACGGCTTCCTTCCTAGGTGTCCCTTTGGGAAACAAGATGGCGCTGGTAAAGCTTAAACAAACTGAAACCACAATGACCCGAAAGGGACCCTGATGTTTTCTTTGGTCAATATAAGCACTTTTAAAGGTCCCCAAGAGCAAGGACTCCAGACTCAGATCGCAGGTTGGATCTTCTTCAAGCGTTGTGGCCCGACTAACTCAAGGGCCAGAACCCCCTGAATAATTGCCTTGAATAATTGCCCCTTGAAAAAGGCTCTAAGTGAATCTTCGGAGCAACCAAGTGCCAGCTTGCCAGAATGAAGCTCACAGTCAAGCAGCGAATTCGTCCGCTTCCATCTCCCCTCGCTTGCGCTTGCCAGACGATGAGGAGCTTTGAGATTTGCCTCCGATGTCCACGGAACCCTGCATCTTCTTTTGCTTCTTGCTCGTGTCATGTGTTTCCTTTGTGCTGCCTTTGTTTTCTGCTGATGTGTTCTGTGTTGCGTCGTTGATTTGAGGCCGCGGCAAAACCTCAATTGAAATGGGCTGCACATGTGTTTTCTTATCGGTTTTGCGTCAAAGTTTATCGTTTTACACATTAGATGTATGTTCAACCTCATTAACCTTATCGTTTTTCTTTGCACCTTATCGTTTTACCGGGGTTCGCGCATTTTTGGACAACTGCGCGCATCAGCTCATGCCGGCTTCAAAGGCTTTCTTCGTCGGACTCACGAGCAGCAAGCTCCTTCCATGCTTTTCGTTTGCGCTTGCTTGCTTCAATTTGTTTGGCTAGCCTGCGCTCATCAACTGCAATAATGCGTTCCAACGTAGAGTCCAAGACATGTTCCAACGTAAAACACAAGTATGCTGTCCATGGCCGGGAGACATCAAAGGGAAAGCTAGGGTAGAGTGGCTAAGTTCCTCTCAATGGGCAACTCCTCACGGGCATGGGTGCTGTCAAAAAGCGTTATCGTTTTTGTTATCGTTTTGTTATCGTTTTCAGCGTCGTGACTCGGAAGCCTCTCCCGGGTCTCAATGCTCCAAGCCATGGTTGTGAACAGGAAGGACGGAAAGGGCGCAAACAAGATTGAGCAAAATGCTAGCAATACGTGTATTCCATGCTCCAAACCTTATCGTTTTCCAGCACAAACAACACGGAAACACCCAAAAACCTTATCTTTTTGTTTTTTTGCACCTTATCGTTTTACCGGGCTTCGTGATTGTCCAACACAATGTGCGCGACTCTTACATCCCGCAAACACGAGAGTATTGCCAGTACCTCAGTTGTTAATTGCTGTTTGTGCCTTGTTGTTGAAGGGACCGGTGGGGATCAGCAAACAATTGGAGGGGTCAACATTCATTGTGTTGATTGATACCATAGGTATGTATGGTACTCAATTGTTCACATTGAATCATTGCAAGGGTAAATCAATATATTTATGTGCGATATTTCTATACTTCTCCTTAAAACTCACCCGCTTCCAAGACCTTACATTCGCGCAACAGGTGATGCTTGGAACTACCAAACCGAGACACCTAGGGACCTCCACCAAACGCCAAAGAACAATTCAGCGGTTTGGCTGCCTGGCTTTACGATGGGCTTCAACAACCATTGCCAGCTGGCTACTGCATCTTGTTTGTCGGCGCTGGACATGTCATGTCTGTGTTGTGGTGCCGCCTGTTTCGCATCGGGAATCAAAGCCTGCTTGCAGTGAACACGCAGAATCTGTCTTGCAACCATCGCCTCTAAGCTATAGCTACCTGTCCACGTTGTGGTACTTGGACAGCTGGAAAACCGCCTCTTTGGACACCAAGGGAATGTGCTGAAGCCTTCCTCGCAAACCAGTGGTCCACCCCCCGGGGAAGTGCCTAGCACCGCCTCCCTGCTCTTCGCCACCGTCCGAGCAAAGGCCCCGGAGGATGCCGATGACGCCGACGCGCCCTGGGGGGGGGCTCGCTCTCTCTCTCTCTCTCTCTCTTGGTGGCTCCCAAGGAACGAACCTTACCCGTACACGGTATAGCAAGGGTACAGCTTCCTTGGTTCACTGCAGGTGCTGCGGCTTCAACTATCCCAGATTGCCCAAGCCAATCAAAAAGATGAAGCAGAATCTGATGATTATGTTTCTTTTGGTCCTCTTGGGTGTGATTTCCTTTTCCTGGTGAACCCTCAAACACCTGAATCTAATCGCAAATCCCATGGTGTACTGTACCAATCGGCCACCAACATGCGAACGAAGACGATGGACACTACTCAAAAGGTGAATCTGTTGAAACAGCTTGCCCGGTTTCTTGCGCTTTTCCCTCAATCGAAGCAGAGATTCTATCTTGTCCTCACATACCAACCAACCTTTCCCCAAACTCCACAAGCACCACTTCCACGAGATATTCTATATCCAGCACTTTTCTCAACCATCAAGCACCCCACCCCCCACCCCACCCACCACACCGCCCAATCCCATACCCCCACCACATAAGGTTGTGCGGCCATGGGCGCCGCATTGCCCCCGTGCAATGCGTGTATTACTATATATATATATATATATATGTATTCATATCTGGGCTGCCCGTTTTCAGCTGTTAGTGGGTTAAATGGACACTACCACTATACCCTAAAAAGGCGGGGATGTTATATATCTCTCCTGGGAGGCAGATTCTGTTCAAAAGGCTAATATGTGTTTAAGCATGACTCCACCCAAAGGCGATTGTTGCTTGAATGGCTCGAATGGTAAGGCTTAAGCCACCCAAAACGAGAAACATAGACTTAACAACAGATGCGTCTGAACATAGGACCAATAAGGGCATTATCTTGAACCCAACCCCAAGAAAGTACAAAGAAAAAGGACAGTCCTGATCTCTGACTCGCCAGGCTTCCCTCAGGTCTCCAACCCCCAAAGACGCAGTTGAAGATGTCGCTAGGGACACGTCAGGAAGTTGAATGACGGTGGTCACACAGCATTATTTTGCCCCCGAGCTGGCCAAGAGGTGACTCGGCACCGGTCCGCAGAAAGCTGCATGAGCCATTGAGAGGGGCACTCGGCCCAAGAAGAAAGTTCTGCCCTTTTCAAGCCAGTTAAGCATAGGACGTACAGCATGCCTGTCTGGACGATTCATGGTCGATTGACAAGGGTCCGTTCAACATGTTCTTGAACTGGCCCCATTACTTTGAAATGATAAGAGTCAGGCTAAGTTGCCAGCTCCAGGGAACCAACCCTCGCTTCTAACTTTTGATGCTCCCAAGAAAAAAGGCAAGCAACATCATGACCCCTATTGAAGGTATCCAATCAAAAAGCGTGTGGTGCCTTGAAGCAGTCTGGGTTTATTGGGGTTTCGGATCCTGGCAAGTCGCGAGCAAAATGCATACCTCGCAATCCCCTTCCTGAACTTACCCTCCGTATCAAGGGCGAATGTCATCTGCCCCCAGGGTTGTACTCTTCGTTTAGTACCACAATCTATTGGCGCACCAGATCCCTTGTTTAGGTGTATGCTATATATGTACGGCTGCATGATGGGTGTATATATGTATACTGCCTATATATATATATATATATGCATGTGTATATATACATCTATGTTATCACGCGTGCACATAAATCTATTTGTATATATGTAACACCTGGAATTTTGTGCAGGTGCGCAGCTATGTGGTCATGGGTCAAAAACCCGTACCCCCAGTGAACATCCCAATCCCCACCCATTGGTTTTGACCCACAGCCATGTAATGTATGCTGCCATGCCCAAGGCATCCACTTCTCGGCGATTCCGCCTTCTTGCCCTTGCCGACCTTCTCCGCCGCCTCAGCGGCGTCCCGCACCGCCTTGGCCGCCTTGAGCTCCTCGATGGCGCGCGGACGCGTCGACGAGCACGGGTACGGGGCCCGAGCGCAAACCGCAGGTTTTAGTCGTTGGTTCCATTTACCCAGGTGCCATGTTTGGTACATTTATTTGAGGCACAGCCATATCCTACTGCTTCCAATGACCATTGTAGGCCAGGGAAATCAATGAAAACCCAGGAAGCGAAAACCTGCAAAGCTGGAAGCACCGTGAAGGGCTTAAGCGCGGAAGGCGGCTACCTCACTGCCCTGGAACGTTTGCAATCACTCCAACTGATTCTGTTGAATTCCCTCCCATCGATCAACTCGTCAGCATGTTTCCTTGACCGACAACCATTAACATGTTGTGCCATGCGTTTGACTCATGAGGGAGCTCCCTTGAACGACAAACGTCAAACGTAAGCATTCTGCCGACGTGGTTTCCTCATAAGGGGGAACAATAGAACGGCGAATGTAAACCCACACACACACACCACACACACACACACACGCAGAGACACTCACCACACACACACACACACAAACAAGACCGAAACCGAATTGGGATGTGGAGTTTTCGGCACTTCAGGAGAAAGTACTATGCAAATTTCGATATGAGAAATGCGGAAGGAAATCAGCGGGGTTGGAATCCTATAAGAAAAAGCAACCACTCACAGTGGTTCCAGCCGTGGAAAGCAAAGCAATGTAACTCGAAACACATAGGGAACCAAAGACATCAACCCCATCTCCCCGGAACAGGTACTTAGAACATCTTGGAACCATATGATCCATGGATTCAGGTTGAACACTGCTAAGAAGTGATTACACACAGTACAGTGTGTAACAATTGGTGACCATATTGTGTCAAACGCTAGAGTTAGCACATACTTGTGACTTAATCTTAAACTCCGTATGCGTGGGTGTGCCCTTGAATCTGGTGCGCCAACTGTTTGTCAAAGGCTGTATATACAGGCACAAGGGTAGACAAACGGCAGCCCAAATCAACGCCAAGGAAAACCCTGCTGATTCTCGTGCATTCAGGTCCCCAAAGGACCAAAGGCAAGCCCAATAAAACCCAGCCAACTTCTATCCTTGAGGTGAGGCCATCATTTTTCCAGACCAAGGCAACAGAAGTTACGAACCGAGTCGCTGAGTCGAAGGAGCCCAGGTACTTGCCCTGCAGTGAGCATGAGACGCAGCCAAACTTTGGCAGTGCCCCCCTGGATGGGTTGGGCGTCTGTTGTTGGTCGATCATTTAGGGGCAAGTGACAAAACCCAACAAGCTTGATGGCTATCCTGCACTCAAACAGCTTCACTTTGGCAGGTGAGTGGGAAGTCATCTCTTCCAAGAACAGCTAAAGGATAAAGATCCAACCAAATAGCACCAAGAAAAGGAAGCCAGGAAAGCAACCAGTCTTGGTCTGGGAAATTAGCCCAGCCCAAAGAATCGGAAGAGACCAGAATGTCCCCTAGTGGTACCAAGTTGTTTCAAATGAAGGGTCATTTGCCACCCTGTCTTTCACGGGCCTTGGAACTCTGTGCATCAAATTTGGAGGACCCACAACTTGAATCAATCCCAAGTTGGACAGGGAATGCAAGCGGAAACCATCTGGAGGGGGCCCTACATGTTTTGTCTCCCAAAGCGGCTAGTGCCCCAGGCGACATACAACAACTGCATCTGCGCGCACCGGAAATCGAGAAACGCACAAGTGCTCATATCATGTCAATGTGACCATGCACCCATGCTCAGTTGAATGGGCTGGGGCTGCTCCTCGGTTGAAAATAGGGACACATCTTCCCAGCATGTTTGTTACGCTCGCCATTTTCTTCAAAAGGACAGGCGACCCTTCTCCTGCTTCATACACATCAAGCATGGGGTCCAATACCTCACACCACTCTGCAGGCCAGCGGAAATTTCAACTGTTGTTTGCCACTTTCCAGTGGCTTGCCCAACTCAAACGATGTAAACTTGTATTGAAGAACTGTAGAGGGACCCCACAATAAGCCGTTTCCATGTGAGGCCTCATAGAAAGCCCGAAAGCCGAAGAGAGGTATCCCGAAGAAGCACCAAGAGTGGATTGTGAAGCTTTCTCATGAGCATCGGAGGTTGGGAAGCGGACCCAATCCACCCACCCAGGACATATTTGAGGACTAAGTGCAAAACATCATTCAACCAACGGGTCGTGGCGCAGGAATCAAACCAGGTGTTGCCCCAAATAAGGACCCTCTCAAATGGCCTGCTTCACCAATCGAAAAATAGTGTGTGTGTGTGTGTGTCTGTGTGTGTGAGTGTTTTTGAGGGTGCCTTTTTCAGCTTGGTCTTAAAGAAAATCAACAGAACAGATTTCCCCCTGGTTTGGGTTCTCTTGTACAAACCCATCATTTTCCCTTACGGAACCCCTCTCATCTGGCCGGAAAGGGGCCCAGCGGTCCATCGTTTTGAGACTCCAACCACGCCCAGGCGGCCGCGCCTGGTAGCTGCCTTGCCACTTCCCGCTCTTCAACTGGCAGACCCCCTGATACCTCAGGTCAACTCAAGGATTCTTCCAAACACAGAAGCAGTGCCCGCATATACAGACTTTGCTATAACCCCAAACAAACCAAGTAGTAGAACCACCAGTTATTGTTGTGGGTTTCTGGGGCACAAATATATATATATATATATATAACATTAAGTCATGATCAAAAGATAATCATGCTTGCAACTAAAACTGTTTAGCCCCTTTTGATACCAGATGAAAGGCAAGACTTACTTGTGAACCGCCAAAATGTCAGCTTAAACAACTGTGCCGATGGCAATGAAAGCCACGAACGCAAAGAAAGCTGCACTTTGCAAGAACGAAACGTCAAATATCCAAGGCAGCGCACCTGTAAGTAAAGAATAAAGCACCAAGAACAGCCGAAATTATACTAGCATTTGATACAGTTAACATGCTGGAGCATTCACTTGGTTGGTGTTGAAAGGGGAGCAACAATTTAAATATTAGCAGTTAAGTGGGGATTTCCCACTAAACCACAATAAGCAAAAATGTAAAATGTTTCCCAACAACAACCATGTTCAAGCAACAAAAAACGGCGTCGCCTCAGCTAGACACAACACGTGTGCAATGGTCAAAACTCCTCCAATTGCGCAACATTTCCCAATGGGTTGATGACAACGCTTACTGACTCCCCACGAAAAGGTGTTGACCATCGCTCACATTGCTGTATGTCAAACTGAGGGGACGCCTCCTGAACTGGTTTCAGAAGGACACCAATCGTTAGAATCCGTTGGAGTGAGTCCACTGATTTGGACATGGGTCCTGGAAGTCGGTAAGCGAATGTGATGGGAACTAATCAGCCTGGCATGGCTGTGTGTCAAATTAGGTGAAGCCAAATGGCTAGTTTTTCTTTGGTTTCGCGTACTGCCTTCGCTTCTCACACCATCCCATTTGGGTTGGTCTTTGGCTCTACAATTGTCACAAAAGCGCAACCAGGAAAAACGGCTCCCCGATATGAGGGTCATATGCGCACCTTTTTTGTGCTTGGGTATCTTGCCGGGCAAGGTGTTAGGGAACAACCAAAACACAAACACCAACCACTCAAGTGGAATCCCGCTGGTACATTCGCCCCTGGCACCAGTTTAGTGACAATTCTGATATCTGTCCGCCCGCCAAAAAGCCCGCTCCCTCCAAGTCAACCGGCATGTTTTTTGAGGGGTTCTCAATATCATGTGGTTGTCCCTCCGACCAGCGTGGATGCTTGGCTGATAAATAGGCACGCCATTTCTTGCGGCCTCCAAATAGGGCACACACAAGTTAAAGGTCCGACCAACCACCACTTCCCCTTTAGAACATCACCCCGCCGAAAGAAATCTGGAGCCCGCGTTGAGGTTCGGTCAATTCACTTCTGGAGTGCATGGGCCCACAAAAGCAACCGAACCTTTTTACACATAGTACAGTAACCTAAAATGTCAGTTGAGTCCAGTGCGGGAGTGAGCTGGAGATCCCAACTTGCCCCTGGCTCCGTTCCCAGGCACTTGGAGGACCCGTTGCCCTTGCTGAGCAGCAACGGCCTCTCGAATGCGGGGAACTAGGAGACAGAGAGCCCGCTGTCGTTGCGTAAACAACGGCGATGTGCGTGTTCCCCATTTGCTTCTTAAAACACCCGGCACTCGCCCGGTGTTTTGATGAGTTGCTTGTGTTTTCCTCCAAGTGCAGCCAATTGTTTGAGGAGTTTGGTAGCTTTCCTTGTTCGGTTCTGTAGTTGTTTGCCCATGCTTGTTTTGGTGATTAAGGATCCTTGCAGAAGCCCAATTGAGGACCCCTTTGCAGGAAATGCATTTGTTGATGTATGTCCAACATTTGTGCGGATGTTTGCCATAAGATTCATACTCATCAATTGCTATGTTTCAAAAAACGGGCATAGCTCGCTACCATTTGTGCCCGAACATGGGTTGGTCAACTGCGGCAAACTCTGTCAGTGAAACTTGCACACTCAATGCGCAGTTCATGCAATCCAAGGGGTCGCTTATATTTCCAACTAAAAAACACAAACAGCACCAAGAGGAATCTCACCAAGATTTGTCTAAAAGGTGATGTTCAACAGTGTGACACCTCGAAAATCCTCAGAACAATTGTGAGTCACAATCAAAACCTGGTACAAACATGGTGAACCCAGAACCATGTAAAGAATTGGAAAGGCGGCCGCAACTATTTCCGGCTGGGACTGCCCCTTACTAACCTGCATCTATCCGGGTTTTGATCGTGGCTCATGTGAACCTGGAAACTGTTGTTTTCCGCGCCACACGCCGAACCTGGCGGGGCCCGCCTGCGCTTGCCGGGTGCGGCGCTCTTTGGAGCCGCCTTCTTCGCCTGCGCCTTTGCCTCAGCCGTCCACATGGAACCCCGGCGGTATCAATCCCTTTTGTTGTCTTTACAGGGAGCCAACCGGAAACTAGTAAAAGGTTGCTTTTACATGCAACCGAAAGGCCGTGACTTGCCTAGCAGCGCCAATTGTTGGCTGCTTGCAGCTTCATTCCTGGTGAACATGGTTGCTCAGGCCCCGTTTCGGACAAATAAATAGTAAGTGATTGAATCCAGTGGAATCCGTTTGTGTTCAATCCCAGCTGAAACCAGAAAGATCTATTGGCTGTGAACTGGGGAGCACAAACATTTTGCAAACAGTAGAGAAAGCGGCGTAGGATCTGCTCTATCAACAGACCTTGTGGTAGCGCAACTTGCCAATTCAATACGCACGTCAGCAGCTAGTGGCTGAACACTGCATGAACACTACATTGAATCCACTAACAGTTCAACGACTTTTACCAAGATGTCCCTTATTGGAAATAGGACAGAGTTGCTTCAATGTGCCGATTGGCACAGTAGAGACTTACTTGTTATCCAGATTCCTTCCGGGAACAAATGAAACAAACCGGTAGTCCTTCGGTCTCCTGTTGGCTTCCCCTGGTTTCCGTTGGGGCAATTGGGTGGGTCAAAAATAGGTACCCAAAATGGGTTGCCCTGGTAAACGGAAACAAAGACGAAAACCTGCGGTCCGCTGCCTGGTGGTTTAATTTTGACGCATGCCCAATTCACAAATGGCTTTGAGTCCCGCCTTGGCGGCCGAGAGTAGCTTCATGGCCAAAGTGGCCTGGCAATCTCAGAACGTCTAAACAGGAACCACTGTACCGCCGATGCGCCGATTTGGAAAACCTGGGCGTGGTCGGTTTGTCAGATTTTGGCTTCACCCAGTTGCCCGGGGGCAACTGAACAACTGGTTGAGGCGTCTCCAAGCAGCAAACAGTTTGCAACACATGGTTTCCCTCGACAAAACATGAACTGGCTGGTGGCTCAAAAGCTGCTACTTCCTGATAAGTGGCAACACATGGCGGTCCATAGTCTGCTAAGTGGCTCCTAGCCAGTTGAATGTGACTCAATACATTTGTCTATAATCAACTGCCACTCACCGTCATCAAACAAAAACTGAATATCTCTTGCAGCCCAGTGCCAAACACATGAACTGAACCCAAAGGCAAACAGCAACTGAAACGCATGAACCACGATCAGTGAAGTCAAGGTGTTATCAGCAAAATTGGCCTGTCGTAAGCTTGTGGCCAGTTCCATCTAAGCCCTGGAAAAAGTATGCCCAATCGCCTCAAAGCAGCTGGAGACGGAGCGTGTAAAGGGAAATCTTGCAACCAAAGGACCTCTGGGAAAGCTCTGTCCTGACTGCCTCTCAGGAATAGTTAAAGGCTTTTGCAGGTCAACTATTTAATGAAGCCAAACACAATATGGGATAGCTATGATCATGAAGCCAACTAGTTCTTTATGTGGGCCTTACTAAAGCGCCCGTCAAGCCAAACCCAATTCAGTGGGCATTGCAAGGTCTGCAGAATGCAATGAAAGAAACATATTTTTGTCTCTTGCTGGTACCCTTTGTCCCTGTTGCTTTCAAGAAAACTAAGGGACACCGCCCATGCTGGCGTTCCCCTGTTTCGCAGAAACCCAGTGGTCATGGGAAAACTGGCACCATGTTGCGTGCTTGAAATGGAAGGGAAGCCTTTCCTTCCGCCCCCGTCCCCAAGAAAAAGGAACCACACCTCAAATGAGTCACAATCACTACTCGGTGGTTGTTTTAATCCCAACCTAAAAAACAAATCCAACATTGTCATAGGCAAATGACAAATCCAAAGTGTCCAACATATCTAAGGGGCTATACAAGGATGAGTCTGCCCAAAACCCACGGGGAAGAAACAAAAGCGCAGTTGTCGCAATTGATTGCAACCCATTTAGGTTTCCCTGGTAGTTCTAAGCAAATGAGGCAACCAATCTGCCATGTTCAGCTCCCTACTCCAGTAATTGGAAGCTGGCATCACTCATGTCTTACCAATGGTCATCAGTTGTCATTTGTTGGCTCCTTATCGTTTCGCAGGGGCATGCGCACGTTGTGTCGAGCAAGGACCGCTCCTGTCAAGTAATACTACCCCCTAATTCTTACAACCCCAATTGCCTGTTTTCTGATTCTGATGCATATTTGGTCTACCCTAAAATGCATAAAGTAGTGTTGGAGAAAACCCGAGCCAGCATGAGCCATGCCCCCTGCCCGCCAAGCCCAAAGCGCCTTCTTTGGGGCGGCAGATGACGATGATGACGATGTCTTCTTCCCGGTGACGGCGAAGTCCATGAGGCGGTCCACGAGCTCCGGCTTGCGCCCCACCGAGTCCAGGCCTGGCAGTTTTTCTCTGCGCGTGTGGAAGTGTCTCTGTGCCTCTAGAGAGCTGTCTCTGTGTCTCTGCGTCTCGATGTCTTTGCGTCTCTGTGTCTCTGTGTCTCTCCGTGTTGCTGCGGCGCTGCGGCTCTGTGCGTCTCCGCGTCTCTGGGTTTCTGTGTGTCGATGTGTCTGTGTGGCTGTGTCCGTGTCCTTGTCCGCGTCTGTCTGTGTGTTTGTTGTTTGGACTACGCCTTTTAGCCTTTTACACATTGGGCTTAAGGGAAACCAACAGAAAAACCATCCATTTTAGGGCTCCCCCTCTAGGAATGCGAACCCGAGAACAAATCACCTTGCCAGGGCTCGGCCAAGAAAGGTTTCAGGTAACATGGTCTAAACAATGGAGGGATGATTACCTGAAATCCAAACTAAGTCACCATCTTGAATACCTAAAATATCCCATGATGTGTGTTGGCCTCGCAAGCTCATTTCGATCAGTGGCATTCGAGATAACAGTCAGTATTCAGCAGGTGTCCCAAACACACATAGGATGTTGGTGACGAACCCGATTGCCTAGCAGTCATCGCTCTCCTGGAAGATGACGGCGAGAAGAACTTCTCAGCTCTGCGTATAGATGCTCACCAACAAGGAAACTCGGCACCCAAGTTGGCAACTGTCCAAAGGGCAATGTTCAAAACCGCCAAGAAAAGATAAGGCAATGAACAACAGGTTGCAGTGCATCTTCTAAGGATGTATTTTGCCCCACTTTTGCTGAGTTACCGGGCACTTAATAGACCGGCTGGGAGAGTAAGCGGATGCCTCTGCCTTTTTCAGACCCCCAACAGCGTGTCAGCTTTCGGAAAGCCTTGCTTGGACTATGCTCCTCCACTACGCCCAGCTCGTTTCGATGTCCTGTGAGAAAGCGATCAAACAAACCTGACTCTATTATTTTGGCTTCCCCTTTTGGTCTCCTGTTGGGAAGATTACTACAATTTGACAACCCTGTTGGCTTCCGGCCTTTCTTCTGGCAGAGGTCCACTAGCTCCTCGCAGGAAAGCAGAAGATTGGGATTGCCATGCACCATGTCCCTTGTGAATATGGATTACCACCTGCATAAAGCTAGGAACCGCCTCGCCCATCCTTTGAACATGGGGCAAAACAATGTCCCACAGGTACGGCGTGGCTTAATTTCCGAGGCAATCCCGAAAGCAGGCTTCGGGTTCCCTGTCTTTCTTGGAAAAACACGACAGGCACAAGGGGCAAGAGGCAGTTTCAGGTGAGTAAAAGAACATGCTGAAATAGAGTTCTCTCATACGGGTGCCTTTTCGGAGGCATTTTTTTGGTGGCAATGGAAAAGATGCAGGACACCACCGCTTCAGGAATTCCCGCCCTCCATTTCCCCCACAAAACAGCATCCTGTCTAACTCAAGGCCTGTTCATGTTCCAAAAACAAGGCCTGACTCCACCCACACTTGCCCAAAAATAGCACCCTAACTTACTGCCTTCTGTCCTTACGGCCTCAGTGTTGGGGAAAACTTCTTGTCTTTTTGCCCTTGCGCAGGCTTGGGGAAACCAGCACAGCCACGTCTCCTTCTTGTCCAGCAAGCCCAGGCGATCCCGGCTAAGTCCATCGTCACCCTGTCGCGTGAGCCAAAAGCCACTAAACTTGGTCATAACGTAGCCCACAATCCCGTTCTAACTTTAAGGTCGCTTCAGAAAAAAAAGCAGCGAAGCAACTGTTGCACCCTGTTCCCTGCCTTGCCAATTAAGCAAAAACACCAAAACCCAACCCAGCCAGGGAACCACAACCTAGACAACAACGCCAAGAGCCGCTGCCAACACAAAAGCATACTGCCTGCAAATCGACCTTGAAGCCGAAAAGGCTGCCCGCCGTTGTGGAGATTCTGCTAAAGACACATGTTTCTCGCTGTCTGTTCATCTGCATGAGTTTTTCCAAAAAACCCAACACTACAAGGGTTTGTTTTCTTGAGGGTACCTTTTATTTCAAAGGAAACCAAAAGGAACCAACACATGCTGGGGGCACCCCGATTTTCACGCATACCCACAATAAGGCGAGTGCTCTTTGGTCTTCGCCCGCAAGCTGGGCTCATGCCGGCAGGGGGCGGCGCCGACAGACCCGTCCCCGCCAAACCTGCCCCAGAACTGGGTGCCAAATAGGGGGCTGGACAAATTCAATCAACACACCCATCCCCCCTGAATTTCTTTTTTGGGTAAATCAGACATTGTGGGCACAAAGAAAAACAGGGCTTCCCAAGATGACAGAGTCCAACAAGCCAACATGACACGTGGAATGTGTTTGTTTGGGTGGAGTCCTGCCCGTTGCCCTTACCGACCTTGACAGCTGACCCTTGCTTCCACTTGGCCCGCCGTCAAGACGTAACAACTCGTCGCTGGCCAAAACCGGAAAAAAAACAAAGAGCCAAAGCAGCAAAAGGATGCAACAAGGTCCGCTCCGCGCAACGAGGCCAAATCGCCTCCCGGAAGCCAGGCCCCGGCCCGGCGGCGCGCCTTGGAAGACGAGCTCTGGCCGCCCTGGCCCCAGCTGACCGGTGTCCAAATCGGGAAACGCGGGACGCGGCGGCTCCAACTGAGCCACAATCAAAACTCGGTATTAAAATGGTGAACCCAGAACCAGCTTTTGTTCTGGCTGGGATTGGCCCTTACTAACCTTCATCTACCCGGGTTTTGATTGAACTTTGGGTTCCCTCTTCAAATGGGTAGCCTGGGCACGGAACACACCAGCCCAAATCCAGCCCCCGAAATTGGCTTTTGTTTTGCTTTGGGCAAACCGCTGACCCGAAGAATTGGAATGATTTCCTCTTTGACGATTTGGCTTCGGAACCCAAACAAAAGGGACAATGTTGACCCCGGAAGCATAAGCTGGTTCTACGAATTGGGGGTGTGCCCCTCCAAAAGTGATGAATCCCTATTAAAGGCACACACCTCTGATTCATCAGCCAGGGCCAGGGGGTTATTGATCGGGGGTCAACATTGAGGGTGTCGCTGAACAGCTGGCTAGGAACTGTTTTGTTGGTTGGCCATCTAGCGGTTTCGGAACCGAACCCACTGACAAACATGAAAAAGGTGAGGCACCGAACAACTTGGTATGTACCCCTGACGAGGTACGATTGAAAGGAACTAGTGCGGCACCGAAACCAGCAACACTAGTTTCTTTGCCCCTCGTTTTCCAACCAGAAATGCAAAAGGCTCAAGAAGGGAAATCGATTCCAAGATACTGTTCTGAAAAGTCCCACCCTCACAATTAAAAAAAAAACGTGTTGAGCAGCATTTGCTTTTTGGGCCCATACAGGCAAAGGCTCCAAATGCATGGAAACAACAAAAATGCCGGGGCTTGCGGGTGGACGGAATCTTTCCATTTGAACCTGTACGAATCAGTTCCCGTCCACCATGTACTCTTCATCCAGGATCCATAGCTCCGTTGGTTGATTTATAGGGTCCCATTTCAAAGGGAAGCCCTCATTTAGGTTTCCGCCCTACTAATCAAGCAGGTTCTGCAGAAATGCTTGGCGAACATAGAGAAACCAACACTAACTTGGCAAGGGGCCCTTTTGGCAAATCCCCATATCCCAGTTGCAATGGAACCCCTTAGTTGATTGATCTCCTTTCTAGTGGAATCAACTGAACAACTCAAATAATTTGCCTAACAGCACCTTGGGACCCTAACGCGGCACTTGGCATTCAAAAGGTGAAAATCACACAACCCAAACAAAAAAGAAACATGACTGCCTATATATATATATATATATGTAGGCGCGACCCCGTGTTTGAAGGATCGAGTGGTGTCAACCCTTTAAGGATCTTGGGGGGAACCATTTCAAGGACACCGCAAAAACAAACACATTGATCCAAGGAACCCGTTTTTTTCTGGACCGCTCCGCGGCTGGTCTCACTAAAATTCCTATAGATCCGATCCCTTCGGACGGCCTGCAGCCTATCCCTGGTCTCTTTCATGACCTGGAGAAGCACTGGTGCCAAGTGAACACGGAATAGCCCTTGTAGCTGCGTCGCTTTCGGAGGAAAATGACAGCCCCGAAAAAAAAGGGTGGGAACTAATGCAAAACTTATGTTCTATTGTGGAACCAAACTTTAAAGAGCAGCACGCCCATCCATAGCAAGTAATGTAACCAGCTGAGGGGTTGCCCCAAACGGGGTGGGACATGTAAACGAACAATCCGGTCATCCATGTGCATTCGGCTTGAAACTCCAATCCGTGGTTCCATAATCCTGATCACCACATACATAATTTCAATCATGTTGCAACCCAAATGGAAGGATTGATCATTACCTCTGAATATGCCAATGATAGGTTCTGGATGTGAAAGGTGATTTGAATGCAGAATAGACGATGCTAGCAGGATGAGTCCTCGTAAATGTCTTGCACCAAACCTATGCCAACACTAGGCGCCATCACGGGTTAAAAGGGGCCAACACGGAGCCAAGCATTCGAAGTACCCTGGTTTTCTCTCAACAGGTTTTATGGGTTCAAGTAACATGCGCTGAAGCAAAGAAGTCACGACCCATCATATTCGCCAAAAAAAAAGATAGCTAGTTTGTTTGAACTCAGACGACTCTAATCACTCTAATCAAAGGTCAGCTGGACTACAAGAAGCCCATGAGAGAGAAACGGATACCCTTCGTAAGCTCATTTTTATGCAGCACCCCAAAAGTTGCACGTGGCAAACTGGAAGTCTTATTACAACTCTCCGAATTGCTCGCCCCCTAAAGTTGATGTACACAACTAATCAGAAGGTTACCATCCTAAAACAAAGGAGTCCCCTCCAATGCTTAATGTCCGGGCTGAAAACGGGGGTCAACTCGTGATAAGTGCGTGTCGTCTTTGGATGTATTCAAAGTTAGCATTATGTTGGTCAAACATGCGCAGGCCAGGCATGGTTCTGCAGGTATGATGTCAGACTCTGATCCTCGGAAATGAGTGGGTTGCCCTGTCTTTCCCGTTCAATCCGCCCTGGAAACGGTTTACCCTCCAGAAGATGCCTGCCAGCCAATTTAATAGGTGCTCCAACCATTCAAATTAATCTGCAAAGTGTACACTAATTTCCAAACCCTTCAACAAGGCATCCAAAAGTAAAGGGCCTACGGCATGGGTTTTCGCTCGTTTTAACTCCCGAATCGGAAGGTAGACCTGTATTCTGTATGCATATATATATATATACATATATATGCATGAATAAATATTCATACATACATGCATGTATGCAAATATATATTATGAGGCCTCATACATGTATATACATTATATATATATATATATATATGTATATTTCGTTGACACCAACGAGCAATCTGGCAACCCATCTCAGGTCGGGGCGTTCCAATAGCCCTTGGCCTTGACATCCACGCCCGCTTGCTTCATGTAGTCACCTCGCGTCTGGCTTGGTCTCGGCAAAAGCGAAGTGGTTGCATTCCTCGCTTCCACTAACATAGCACCTGTAGAAGGGTACCTGGAAGATCATGTTCCTCTTGTAGGGACTCCCTGTCAGGTGCTATGTTAGTGGGACTGAGGGTACCAGTTTATGGGGAAACCAAAACAGTTGAACATGCTGTGTTCAGGAGAAAATCAAAAAGCAACCAGGCCATGATTGTTGAGCTACAACCTTGCAACTTGGATCATGGAAGAATGTCCCGGTACAATCCAATCAAGATCCAAAACTTCAATGTTCAGAGGACCCAAAAAGACTCCAATGCGGTGAATCACTCCGGATGCATGCACAAAAGGAAGGCGAGGCACGCACTATTGTCCTTGTAGGATGTCCCCCTTCCCGACAGGGTTGGACTGCCAACCGAGTGTGAGTTAATGCCCAACAACAAACGTCCCGATGCTCAGGCCCCTGCGGTAGATGTTGGTGATGGTGGGCGGAGTGTTCTCACCTTTGCCACTTCCGATGCCCATGGACTGCATTGCCTTCTTGGCCGCCGTCTTCCTCACGGGCCGAACCCGACTTTGCACACCTTCGAGCCCCGGAAGGAAGGCTCAACCACCCGGCTTCGTTCCCCAGATCTGCGAAAACCTGAAACCTTCGGAAGTTGCAGAGGGCCACCAAAGCCAAATCCAGAGCATCCAAATCGCCCAATCCAGAGCATCCAGAGCATGCCAGAGGACTCCCCCGAACATGAATTGGTGCCTGGCACGCATGCGATGATGAACATTTGTGGGATGACGCCAGTAGGGTTGTTCTCAACCAGCTGGGGGATAGTAAAAGAGCGCAACCATGGCTCACTTCCAAGCCGGTCCCTCTTCGTTTGCCATTACTAGGGGAATCCTATTTAGTTCCTTTTCCTCCGCTTACATATATGCTCAAATTCAGCGGGTGTTTCAGCGCCAATTGCTTGGCAGGCTGGACAAAACGGACACACGTGCCCAGTCATGCGCACAAATCAGTCCAGCTTACCTCCCGGTTTGCATTCAGCACGCCGCTGCAAATTCTGACGCAGCGGCGCGCAAAGAGGTACAACAGCTTATTCTAGTTGTCTTCCACCTATCACCCCTCACAGGCGGGATTGATTTGCACCCATCACACAAAGGCAACGCATGTGGGTGTCTTTCTTTGAGGACCACCGACCACCCTGTTGGAAGGTGTTGAAAAAACAAAATAAATCAAGAAACCATTCTGCGTGTGCAATTTGTCTTTTTAAGACAATCCCAAACATGAAAGCTTGAACGTTGAACAGTTTAGTCTTGGGTCTTGGACCCAGCAGCGGCCTCACTTGGAAGTGACAAAGGCGCGACGTGCATGGGAATCTCAAAGTTTGATCTTTACCCTGGCCACGGAACGAGAACGACCTTCCAACCCCAACTTCCAACCCATGAACGTTCGCATTCGTTGTGCCAATTGCTCTCTTGCACTCTCCATCTAAAGGAATTTGGGTCATTGTCAAGGGCAAGCCCATGAAAGAAAAAGAAACTTCCCAGAGATGGGGATGCTTTTCTGGAGTGTACTCCCACAAAAAGTAAAGGAAACGAAACTAAAACCACAACTGCCGATCGAAATCAATTCACACCCAAATCGCAAGGAAAAACGCGCCACCCGTCGGTCACCCAAGCCTTGTTTGGATGGTTCCAATTATTTTTCTGCGGGTGGCCTTCAGAGATGACCCCTTGGAAAGCTCAACAAACAAAACCACAAGTTACAACATCCACTCCCACGCTGACAAGCATTTCCCCCACAAGTGACCAAGCCAACCTTCTGATGAAAGGGGTGCTTTAGCTCAGGGTTCCCTTATTCCTATCAACCCAGGGCCCGCGCTGCTGCTTCTTCGTCTTCTCGGCGTTCGGCCCGCAGAAGTACCGCTGGTGGAAGGCCAACTTCCTAAGCCGGGTGCCGGGTGTTCCTTTGGTTTCCCTCACATGGGAAGCGGTTCTCGTTGTGCCTAGGGTGTGGGGTTTGAGTTTGGCTTCCCACAGAATGGTCAGCTTCCCTTTGGTTTCTCATCAAACCAAGCCGAGAAAGTTCAAAGGGTACCAACACTCACGTCTAATCGAGTGGATGGCCAAAAAGGTCCGGAGACTATACTGTAAGGGTCCCGCCAAGGTGGAAACACTGCCCTTGCGGCTGCACTTCAAGGGCTCTTTAGACTACCTTTGCGGGTTATTTTCCTTACAACCACCATGTAGAAACCCGATTTGAGGATATTACTGTAACGACCCCAGTATAAGGGTCCGACAAAACGGGACCCGAACCGGCCATGGGTACTAGGATCCAACAAAAAAAAGGACCCATGGCTCCAGCAACTAGGCCTGAATGGCGAGGATTCCTTACAATGGAAACAAATTGCATCATGAAAGAACCGTGTGTGTGTTTTACCCCGTCTCAGTTGAGTCTCAAAATTGGATACGGCAAACCAAGGGTGGTTTCCTTTTGGCTTCCTTTTAAAGCAAACCAAGCAACAGCACCCCCAAAACATACAGAGCAGGAGGACAAACAAGGATGACTGTTCAATTGGGACCTTTTGGTGGACATTGCTTTTCGTGGGGACTTGTGTCAACCACCCCCGCCAGAGCATGTTCCAACCATGTCAAGTGAAACGTGCAGAAATGGTCGAGGAAAAAAAAAGACACCCCCGTTGAACCCGGCTGGTCGTCTTTTGGTTTCCCTGTACAAACTGTTCAAAAGTTGTTTCCAACGCCTGTTCTTCCCACCGGCACAAGTAAGGTTGTCTTGAAATGGGGAAGGGAACCCCGAAAATTTGTGGTGGCACTATGGATTCCTTTTTGAACAACTCCAAAAAGACTTCCCTCAAGCAATTCACGCCCAACACTTCCATTTTCCGGAGCAAACACGTCGATCTGTCACCTGTTGCAGGCTCCATGGCTCGGATATCGAAACCCCTGGACACAATCCACACCAGGCACCAGTTGGCATGGACGATGCCAACCGAAGATCATGGGTTCATAAACCAACTACCAACTGGCGCCTGGCGCGGACTTTGTTCATCCACAGTATTCCTTTGCAAAGTTCCCACCGTTTATTGTGCTGTTTGAATGGTGCAGCACCGGCCAATCCCGTCCAGCCGACAAAAGAACAAACAACAACATCGAAAGTTCGGAAACAACCACAACTACAAAGCAACACAACCACGAAATAAGACCAAGCAAGGACCGATAACCAACCAACCAAACAAACAAACCAACCCGAACACTGGCTTTCTGAGTGGATTGGCCCCAAAGAGTCTAAACTTCTTGGTTGCCACTACGGTCCTCAAAAGTTTTAAGGTCCAGGGACTCAGGGAGTGCGCTCCGACCATGTGAGCGAAAGCCAAGCCATGGCTCTCCGGCATGAAGAGCTTGCTGCAATACTTGCCTGCGGCGATGGGGCAAGGGATTGGTTGCTTCCCAAAGAAGTGACCCAAGCGGAAGAAACGTGGAACCAGGTCTTCTCGGGGCAGGCCGTTCTTAGTGGGGAAACGGGAAACCAACCAAGTAGAGACAGGGGAAATCCTTTCGGTTGGTTGAGGTTGATGCCATTGTTAGATGAAGCCACCAAACAACAAAACAACAAAAATGCCACTGAACGGCTGGGGTCTGTTCGGCCTACGGGTGCCTCTCACAAATATGGCTCGCCTTGTTGGACCCTGCCACTTTGTGCAAACCAACATGGGCGCCTAAATTTGAACCTCCATGGGACAACAGGGTTGGTTGTATATGTTACTGGAAATACAAGGGTCGTTGGTACCCGAACGTGCTTTTGGGGGCCACCAGTTCGAAGCCAGAGATTTGCTTCCCTAACAACGTGGGAAAACTTGAGGGTTGACCCACTGGACCAGTTGCTCAAGCACCCGGACCTAGTCCGTTTCATCAGCGCATGGCAGTGAACACCCAAAGAAGCACCATTCGTCTTCCATTCGGACCCCGAGAAACAACATATGCCTTTGGATATAAAACCAAGATAAATCAAGAAGGACTCTCTTTTTTCAGGGTCCTCAGGGCGGACCTGGTTGCATACCACTTTCGTGTAGTGTGATGTCGACAGACAGGGGGCAAATCAAGACTCCCCTGAAAATAAGACACCCGCCCTTGGCATCAACCAGGGTTTTATTCATCACGGGCTTCCAGTACATTGGGGTTAAAGCCTCAAATATTGTGCTGCTTGGGTGCCACCAAACAATGGCATGTGCAGATTCGATGCAACTTCATGCACTTCCAAGCGGCACTTCACGCGGTGCTTGTGCGCTTCCCGACGGTAGTCCGACCTCGTTGAAGAGGCACAAAGGCGAAAGTATGTACATACCGACCCCGTTTGCATACCTTAGGCTTGCTGATGAAGTTCATACCATTGTGAAGTGCACGCTTAGACTCTAAACTCGAGATACCAGCCTATAGCCTATATCAAACACCGGCAATGTATATACCAGGATGTTCGTATTTGGGACGCATACTTATTTTCCCTTGATTGAAGTCGTTGATTTCATGGAAGCCACTGGCCTCCAACCAAGACCCGCAAAAAGGCGACCTGAATGGTTGAGGGTGGGGGGGGGGGGGCATCCCATGAATGTTGAAAATGGAACAGCAAGCACATGCGTTTAGTTCCCCGCTGGACATTAGTTTCTTTCTGTATTGGGGGGCGGTTGACAAGTTTGGTGGTACGAAAGTGGGTGTGAGGGTGCCTTGTCCTTATTATAGTAATATAATATAGGAACATTATAGTGACTGTTGCACCTGTGTGTGTGTGTGTGTGGGACACAGTAGTGGGCCCGACTCCTGTTGTATCCACGCTGGATTCGTTTGCCATGTACCATAAGTGTATGCCATTGTGCATTGCTTAGAGGTATGTGGTTTAGTAGACAATGTGGTAAGTTCGCCCTTTCTATAAATGATACAGACATGCTGTCTCATTATCTTTCTCTCGTACCGTTGTTCATGCGTATGTCGCCGTGGCGCCTTCTTCCTGATCCACCACCAATGCCGGTCTTTTTCTGCCGCCAAGCAGTCTGCTCCCTATATGTGCCCCTCAGTCGACATTGCAAAGAATATCGCTCTTGAACGAGGCGCTAAACATCTGCCTACAAATGTCTGCCACTTGCTGGGTTTACCAATCAGGGTTGCTCCATGGCGCAGAAAGTGAGCCCTGCCAAAAAAACAAAGACCTCAATAGTCAATTCTCTACCCAAAGGCGATTTGGTCATTGTTTTGAAATTCGGAGCAACCCACTTGCCGATGTTCCCTGGCGGAAGGCATGTCGTGCTCATTCCCCAAAAAGTGCAAGAGGAAAATCCCCATACATGTGCATCATGCCATCCTCCAAGTCCGGATTGAAAAGCACCCCCCGACCTGCGAAAGGGTAGGGCTTCATGTATGCACCCACTTTGGGGTCTCCAGAATCTTCGCTATAGCTGTATTTCAAATATACTGCTCCAGATATATCAGAGTCTGCCGGCTGATTCTGCTCGTCAACGATACGAACATCAACCCCCGGCAAAGCAAGACCTCTCAACCATTCATTCAAGGATTCAGACGCCTTCTCGGCAGTGGGCGCCATGATGCCAAGTCGTAAGCCAGTCATTCCCTTCCTCAAATTCACGATGGCATCTTTCAAGTTGTCACGGTTCTCGATCTCTGCAGGGGGTGTAAGTCCTGCTGGCGTTCCGCCAGCCTTGCACCTGGCCCGTTCCGCAACTTCCCAGCTTGCCAAGTATTCGGAAGGCGATGACAGGCACCAATCTCCATGTAGAACTGAGAGAGCCACAGCAGCCACCAAAACAGTCCGCAAGGCTCTTCGAGACATGGCGCCAAATGTAGGCGAACAATCTGCTGGCAGATCAGAAGAATTGACAAGAAGATCTGGGTACTCTGTTGAGATGGTGAATGGTTCCCTTTCAAGTGATGCAGAAAAGCAGGCTCATGAGTTCGCTACAGGCATATGATGGATTGCAGTGTTGCGGGCCGGCTTTGAGCTATGACACTGCAATTCCTTGCCTGCTCAGTTATTCAGTGACCATTGTACAAACGGAACCCGTTTTGGGCTTCACGATTTTGGTAGGGAACAGCAAGGGGAAAAGGGTGCCGTTCTTTGGGAACCCGGGAAGCCAAAAAAGAAAATCGGAACAGGCTGCCCATTGCAAGCCTGAGACTGTGGACACGAGCGAGATGTGTTCCTCCTCAAGGTTGAAAGCCACAACTCAAGCATTGTCAGCTCCAGGATGAACATTGATGAGCTTGCCAAGACTTCTAACCCTCTGAAACCAATTTCTCCCATCAGTTTTTCAAACACTTGTACAACATAGCCTACATGGTGGGGCAAAATGAGGCTCCAGTGGTTGCCAGCGGCCAAAGTCCCATTGAAATTCTCACTCACAACTCGACACTTCAGGGTCCGTCCCTTTACGGGACCAGCGCATCGAGACTTGACACCGAGGCCTGCAACTAATGACCCGACTTCATCTTAGAATGACAGCCAGGACCCAGTGGATCCATTTAACTAAATGGAAAATGGCTGCTTACCTAAAACAAAGCAACTAAGGGGGATCACTGGGATCCACTGGGTAAGGTACCTTGTTTGCCAAACCACGAAAAGAAGTGATGATGTGAGGGAGGGCTTTCTTCCAGCAAAAAGGCGGGCCGATAGCAACTTGTACCAAAGTATGATGTAGGTCGTTGCATTGGGGTATGCCACTCTCCTACTCAGCAAGTGCGGATAGCCACTTAGGCCGAGCGGCTCTAATGTCTGATAGGTAGTGATGACCACATCGCCTCGAGCGCTGAAACTTGCGGCGACAAGCTCGCCCGGGAAGTTAAAAAAGCGCAAGAAGACACGAAACTGCACTCCCAACAAGCATCAGAACCTATTGGTTTCTATTCCCGTGTTTTGTTTGACCTCACCAGACCCCAACAAAAAGAAGCTTGTCTCGCCCTCATTGAGCTGGGGAACCTCACTTTGGATTGAACTGGAGAATTTGCCAAGGGGGAACTATCTATTTTGGGGCTCCCCCAATTTGGAGACCAACCCAAATATGTCTGGAAGCTACAAGCGTGCGTCTCAATTTGCTTCGCACAAAAGAAGCGCCTTCTGTCAGTGGTTGGGGCGCGGAATCGCCCCATCAAGAATACCGGGACCCCCTACTTTCAGTTTCAGGTGCGGGCTTTGGAGGTATAATATGTGTATATATATATATATATTCATTATTTATAATATATAATATCATATATATATATATGGTATATTTATAATATATATATATATACACTGTATACACAAATACTACTAGGCTATGCTACACTCTATATATCTATATATCAAATCAAATGATCCACTATCCGTTTGTAAGGCATCGTGCATACCCCAAATATAGTGGTGAGCTCCATAGCTTTAAAAACCAATACCTGCAACTTCGCTAGATTCTGAAACTTCAACAACACACAAGGCAAGGGATCTGTCACCCAAACACGTGCCAACATGATAATTACACTCCTCATGCGTCAGTATCCTTGTTTGTCAGGTGTCAACTTACGTTTCCTGTAGTGTGGTTCCGTAAACAAGAAGACATCTGTTTTCCACGGAGAACCTCACATTTCCTTGGTTACTTTGTTTATTTTCAGACCAGGTTCAACAAGCGTGGCAATCTCACTTTGTTCAAGTGGACAGAAGCTTGGCTTAGCGCGCGGCACTTCTTGAACTGCGTGGCGACGCGGCCCTTCTCGCTCCCGTGGTAGACCAGGGTCTTGATAGCGCCTAAGTGAGCGCAAACCAAAAAGCCCCTGGGATCCCTGAGTGAAGCCATTAGAACCGGGGTGTTTACCTGTCTAAGCCCAAAATTGGTTGATCAAAGGGCACCCAAAACCAGTCAGGCCCCTGCTAAAAGCTAGCATTTGATTCTTCATAGGCTAATCCTCAGGCCCCGACATGGACTAAATCTCCAGCTTTGCGCACGAACTTCCACTCTTTCACTGCACACATACATATTCACCAGTCATGACCATTGCTTCAAACACCTGCACGGGGAGGCAAGCAAACAACAATCACCGCCAAGGCTTAATTTCAGGCTTCGTCCCCGCACTAGGCCTCCCTCAGTTGATCTTGAGTGCCATACTCAAAGGTTTTCATGGTCCATTTTAGTTTCGTGCTCGTCAACGTTCAGGTAAACCTCCTATCTCCAGGTTCTTTCCGCCTGTTGGCGTTTATTTATTTGTGTCGGCTGGACGAGATCGAGGCAGGTTTACGCGCGGATTAGGCTGGTTATCACGGCCTAAAGTTTCGCTCATGGTCGTGGATTGACCATGCAGGTGAAATGTCCAAGGCCAAGGGAATCCCTCAATGACACTATTAATCAGGATAGTCTGCTTTTGCAACACAGTTTTGGGAGTGACCGCGGACCCAAGCAAAAAGTCAAATCAAGATGACTTTAACATGGACCGCTAGCTTCCCTTCTGTGCCATTTACATGCCAAATATCTGGTCTGTAAAGCTTTCCCTTCTGCACAAGATTCAGCTACCAACAAATGTTGTCTGCTTCTTTCCTTAGCCGACCCTTTTTTATCCAGCTCCGGTGAGACATCCAACTGAGCAGCACCCAAAACCAATTGACCTGCGGATTCTACCAACATTGTTATAAAGGTTGAAAGAGGACTCACTGTGACTGCCCCAAAAACCAGCTACGTGCAGAACCATCTACTGAAATGACCTTCTTCGAATTGGTTTGGGGTGGACCTCTGTGGGTACAAACCCCAGAAAATCAGACTTGAGAATACCTGAGCACAAGCCACTTGGAGAGTTCTTGGAAACACAAACTCCTAGGGCCCAGCTATGATCTACGCACGATGTCTTTTAGCTGGAAATAGAACAACTCCGTCATCTAGCTGAAGGATGTGTGCGTATTTTTACATATGCTATCCTCCTGGAGCTGGCGCTCGTTGGAACATGCAACACATGTTTTGAGGTGAGGCGCACCATGCTTTTTAAGCTGTTAGCCAAAAGGCCAACCTCGAAGAGCTAAACACATCTGAATCTGCGGCCTGGCCCGCCCCAGAAAACAAAACAACCGCTCTCCCCAGGCATCTTTCCCTCCCAAACACTCTTCCAAATTCCTTCCAGCCCAACAAGGATGCCTTCAGCCGAGGTGCCCTTTTTGGTAAACTTCTCCTTGGGCGAAGCTCTTTGCGCAGCTCAAAGTTGGCAATTCCACCCGATCGAAACATTTAAGCCAGTCACCAGAATCCCGAAACCTGGAATACAGACTTTGCAGAAAGATGCGAAATCCAAACCTGTATAAACCATTTCCTTTTGGTTTTCCTAGACGGGACATGGTTAGCGTCTTTGCTCGAAGCAGACTTTGGAAAGCATGTTTTGTCCAACATGTTTGCCTGTTTTGAGTGCTATTCGCAATCTGAACAGAGTCCGAATGGTGTTAGTTTTTCATAAAGGGGCTTCACCATGTACTTTTGGAGTTTTAACGTGTCTGACGACACGGTTTACCATTGTGACATGTCAAGTTTAGAATTATACTATGCATCAAGAATGTGATTCATGTTCAAAAGCACACTTCTTCACACAGGAGAAAACAAGTTGTTCTCCTACAAGGGCTGCAAGGATTCGGAGACTTTCTTGCACAACCCAAAGGGGGCAAGGACTCAACAGACCTCAAGACTCAAGTTAAGTGGCGCACCTTCAGATGGGAACTTGTACGGAACATAAACTATAATAATTACGCTTGAGAACCACAATGAGTGTGAAATGAACAAGACTGGATAAGATAGCGTCTACTTACTGCCATTCAAATGAAGCTGGTGCCAATCGTTACGGAATGTATCTGTGGCAAAATGCCAAACAGGAAGATGAGAAAGCAGCGACAAATTGCCTTATCATCCCAGTGGGGGAAGATTCATGTCTCTTGGACTTCTTCGGGGAACCCAGGTACAAACCATCTGCTACAAGCGCTCGATCACAAACAATCCAGGTACCCTGCTCGCATTCCAGTTTCTTGCGTCATTGACATCCTCTCTGACAGGTGAAAGTGAATAAGTACGGCTGGTAGCCCTCTCAAAAGGCTCGCCTGTACATGGACAGATTCCCCAACCTTTTCCCGAAAGCATGGTGAAGGGTTCTTCCGCTGGGTTCACTTGAGTTGTTCTCATGAGAGTCATTACAAGGTGTCATTGCAAGGAATCATCATCATGAAAGTCATTGCAAGGAGTCATTGCAAGGAGTCATTGCAAGGAGTCATTGCAAGGAGTCATGGCAAGGAGTCATTGCAAGGAGTCATTGCAAGGAGTCATTGCAAGGAGTCATTGCAAGGAGTCATTGCAAGGAGTCATTGCAAGGAGTCATTGCAAGGAGTCATTGCAAGGAGTCATTGCAAGGAGTCATTGCAAGGAGTCATTGCAAGGAGTCATTGCAAGGAGTCATTGCAAGGAGTCATTGCAAGGAGTCATTGCAAGGAGTCATTGCAAGGAGTCATTGCAAGGAGTCATTGCAAGGAGTCATTGCAAGGAGTCATTGCAAGGAGTCATTGCAAGGAGTCATTGCAAGGAGTCATTGCAAGGAGTCATGGCAAGGATTGCAACTTGCACTTGACTCCTTGCACTTGCAACTTGCACTTGACTCCACTTGCACTTGGCACTTGCCTTGCACTTGGCTCCTTGCACTTGGCCCCTTGCACTTGCAACTTGCACTTAACTCCGTGCACTTGCGGCTTGCACTTGACTCCATGCACTTGGCTCCTTGCAACTTGCAATGGCTCTCATGACTCCTTGCAATGACTCCTTGCAATGACTCCTTGCAATGACTCCTTGCAATGACTCCTTGCAATGACTCCTTGCAATGACTCCTTGCAATGACTCCTTGCAATGACTCCTTGCAATGACTCCTTGCAATGACTCCTTGCAATGACTCCTTGCAATGACTCCTTGAAACAAGCAAGGAGTCAAGTGCAAGTTGCAAGTGCAAGGAGTCAAGTGCAATTGACTTGCGAGGAGTTAAAATCTCTTCTTAGGGCGGCGGGGTAGTGCCGACGACACTACACGAAAATCGACCCTCTGCGGGGATCGGCGTGGTCGAGGTGCAAAAACCCATGGTTTTTTGCGATTTCTAAAGTGCTCGCGCGACCCTCTGCGGGGATCGGCGTGGTCGAGGTGCAAAAACCCATGGTTTTTTGCGATTTCTAACCTGCTCGCGCGACCCTCTGCGGGGATCGGCGTGGTCGAGGTGCAAAAACCCATGGTTTTTTTGCGATTTCTGCGGTGCTCGCGCGACCCTCTGCGGGGATCGGCGTGGTCGAGGTGCAAAAACCCATGGTTTTTTGCGATTTCTAACCTGCTCGCGCGACCCTCTGCGGGGATCGGCGTGGTCGAGGTGCAAAAACTCGAGGTTTTTTGCGATTTCTGCTCTGCGGCGGGAATCGGCGTGGTGGAGGTGCAAAAACTCGAGGTTTTTGCGACTTTTGTTGTTCGAACTGGTCTTCGGGAGTTGTCTCGTGGTTCGCGCGCCTGCTCCCGGAACCGGCGGGTCGCGGGTTCGATTCCTCCCTGGTCCGCGGGCGGGCGTCGCAAGATGCAACTTGCATTTTAAAGCAACTTGCGCAGAGCAACTTGCGCAGAGCAAGTTGCACAGAGCAACTTGCGCAGACCAACTTGCACCGACCAGTTTGCGCAGAGCGCCTTGCCTAGAGCAACTTGCGCAGAGCAACTTACGCAGAGCAACTTGCACAGAGCAACTTGCACAGAGCAGCTTGCACAGAGCAACTTGCAGGGAGCGCAATTTGCACAGAGCAACTTGCAGGGAGCCACTTGCAGGGACCAACTTGCCGGAGCAACTTGCGCGGAGCAACTTGCGCAGAGCAACTTGCACAGTGCAACTTGCGTAGAGCAACTTGCGCAGACCAACTTGCACCGACCAGTTTGCGCAGAGCACCTTGCCTGGTGCTGTCTCGCGCTTGCTTCACGAATGCTTCGTGTAGGGAAAAAGAACGCATCCTGCAGCGTTGGGCCGACCTCGCTTGCGATGTTCTGATTTTCGGGCCAACCGTGGTCTAGTTTCGCCAGTCCCTAGAGGGAACCGTTCCAAAGAAATCCCCTTGCACAACCCAATGGAAGGAAGGATTGCCCATGAACGGCCTCCCCCCGCAATTGCCATGGGAGAACAACAGGGCACCTGTTTTTTATCCTGTTCTTTAAGGGAACCAGAAAAAACAATCGCTCCAAACAAAGGATTTTGTTTATGGAAACAAACAAAAAATCTGGAAGGCCTGGCATTGGGCCAAGGCTTTGGCCCAGGTGCGATCTCTTTGACCCACTGCTGCACCGCCGCCATGGGGCACACCACCAGGCAGGGGCCCTTGATGGGCCGCGCCAGCAGTAAGCTGATGGCCTCAGTTGTTTCTTACCGCGGACGCGCAAAAGAGGTAGCAACCCGAAAGGGATTAAAGAACCAACTCATGTTCCGTGGGTGGCTGTGCGGCCTTCAACGCGTCTGTGTGTGTGTGTGTGTGTGTGTGTGTGTTCGTGTGTGTTTGTTCTAGCAACCACACCCTCTAACAAACAATGCCTTTTGTTTTCCGCGTTTGAACAGAAACACGTGCACCTTGCGTGTCGGTTCGCTTGGATGGTCTTCCCCATGCCCATCTCGTCTGCGAGGATGCCGCCCCGCACGGAGCTCTCCTCCTGGTGGCACATCCAGGCGAGGCCTGACGGGAAGGGTTCTTGGGGAACCCAGGACATGTTGGACCACCAAGCGTAGCTGACGACCCCACAGATTCAACGAGTCTGGAAGGCAAACCAGCAGCTCACTGGTACCAGTCCAACCACTTAGGCCGGTGTTTCGGGCCGTGTTTTGGCCCCGTGGATCCCCGGCTTTATGGGCTTGACGTGTTTTCAGGCATCCAAACGAGACATATCCTACCAGTCATGATAGCAAAACATTGAAGAAAGTGTTGGGTTGAAACCAAGGTACAGAGCTTCAAGCCGGGCTTGCCTCTTGCCCTGATACGATTCAAAGCTTGGATTCAGCAGAGTAGGGAAAAGGAACCTGCCAACTGCACCGAATCTGCCAAGCCAGGGTTTTTTGGAAGAGATCACAGACTTAAGGATACATGCAAGTAAGATTTGCATGCTTGCATATTACCAGCAAGGACTATACAAGTTTGCCACATTCAAAACCCCCTACCAGCAAGCGCGAATTCGTTTGGGCTGGCATCCGGGCCCCAATGAATCCACATCCTTCAGGACACTTTGAATGGACCTCGGATAGGCAGCATAACCCCAAGGCCAAACACTTAGAGGGAGGAATTGCGACACCGGCCAGGTCACAGCTATCACCCGATTCAAGGAATCCCCAAGGGACCTTCATGGGTGAGCCGCTTCCCCCAGGTAAGCTAGTTGTGATTCGTGCAGTCTGTTGGGTGGCATTCAGCAATGTCAAGAAGGACTCAGAGTGAACACACTCCGCTCTTCAACAACAAAGGCCAGCCCAACAAAGGTAAGTCTGCATGCAAACAATCTGCTGATGGAAGGATCGTTGAAGGAATTGGCATAGAGTTCAGTCGCATTGAAGGAAGCCCAAGGAACCTCTTCACCAATTCGACACACACAACTGCGAGTTGATCATCTCTTAGAGACCGACCTCGAATCGAGCAACCCAATGGCTCAAGCAGCTACACGACGTTACGGATTGCGGAGTCCATTAAACAAATCCGAGCTGATGAACGGACACTTCAGAAACTGTGATAAGAAATAAACATTTAAATAATAAACATAATAGTAGTAATAACACACATGATATAGGTATGTGTCAAAACAGGGGGAACCCCACAATGGGTGGTTTCCCTTTGGTTTCGACTTAAACCAACCCACGGTACCCTGGTGTGTGATGCGGATTGCATGGCAATAAAACAGCGTGATTTTGTCCATGTTACTTGATCACTTTTCGGGCCTTTGCCTTTACCGATCAACACAAGTTGAGCAAAATGCCGGCTCATACTAGAGGCTGGGAATTGGCAGCCAACCGAGGAGATGTCCGTCCGTCGGGCGCTGAATGCCAGTCCAGGCTTGGCCCCCTTTCCGCCACCTGGAAACACGTGAAGGCACTGTTGCCATGGCCTTTTTGACTATCATTTTCAGATCGGTGCAGAAAAAAGACACGTCACCAAGCTCGGGTGTGGTTTCTCAGGAAAACCAGGCCGCCTACCCGTAGATCTCCAGCCCGAGTCTGGCGCGCCTTCCTTTTGGAAGGGCAACATGGGCACCGCTAAGTCCTGGAACGAGCCAAAAACAAAACACACACGAACAAAAACAAGTGTTGTCGAGGGAACAAAGGACAACGTGGGCCCAACGGAGAAATTGCGGAGCACGTGCAGTACGGGAAAATTGACGGGCGAAACATGTAGTTTCATCTTGACTGGTTTGGTGGGGGTAAACGTGAACATGTTGGTTCTTTAAGGGTTCGCAAAATCTGGAATTTAATTTGTAGGGAACAGTACCACGGTGAGACTTTTTCGGCCAACCTGTGGAACACACAATGCTAAGCTCCGGGGTAAAGCCAAGCCATCCGAATGGGAACGGGGGGTTCCAACAATAGGGTGCATGGTTCTAAACATCGGTTGCCCGCCAATGAACGAGCTTCCTCGTGGCTGGCTCCCTTTTGTGTCAGATTTTCCCCACATACACATCACGGTTTGAACCATCTGATTTCGATCTTGGGGCATTTAGGGCAGAAATATGAAAGTCTGTGCAGGGCGGTCCATGGCCTTAACCCCTCCGTGAGGCCATAAGGGCCTATCTTAGGCTTAGCTTGTGCTCTCCTGGCATAGAACCCCCCCCCGCCCCCTGCATAGACACCGCCGCAGGGGAAATCGAGTATCCCTGGTTAGGAGGCATGGGTCAAAATCCCGTACCCAGTGAACGGTGCACCTACCCCAAAATGGTACCACTGGTTTTGACCCACAGCGAGGGGTCAACGGGCTCCTTGGGCACTGGCACAGGGGCCAAATCTTTGGTCTCACGGCCCACGGAGCCGCTGGCGTACTGCTTGGTCTCCTTGGCTCCTGACTGTTCGAAGATCGCAATGAATGTGTGCTGTGAAACCACAGCCACACGGTCGACTGCTGGTGCGATAGGTAGGGAATGAGAATTGGAATGACCCCTCAAAAACCGTCCACCTGGTGCTTTCCCAAGAATCCCTGGGTTTATTTCTGCGCATCGCAGCAGCAAGTTGCTGAATTCAACCCTCGGATCGGCTCCATGTGGCCGGCCGGGGTTGAGTCGGGGGCCGCAACCATAACTTGCAGGAAGAGTGGGGAGAGGAACCGGCAGGATCCATGCTCGGATGAAACCAGCAAGCAGCTAATAGACTTGATTCTTCAAACGGAGTTAATTCGTTCAACTTGTAAAACGACCAGTATAGCCAAAGGACCCAACATTGCCATTTGTTCACAGATTTCGCCGCATTGTTTCATTCATGATTCGCCAACCTCAAATAAGATAAACACGCAACCAAAGGGAAACCACTATTGATGCTTTGTTCTAGTTCATCCACCCACCCAACAGAAAGCTTGTCTATAAACCAGCTCCCAAGACCGCCTAATCTCCTCCCCCTATTAATGAATGACCCCCATTAATAATAAATGCAAATCCGGGGCCCGAGACCAGATTTCCACTCCGTACAATTGATTTTCAATTGCCCCAATACTAAACCAATACTAAAGTCTTGGAATCCTTATTAGGGGGCACTTTTAGCAAGCTTCCAGCTCCACTTTTAAAAAGGTGGGTTCCTCAATTCCCCAAAAGGTTGCTTCCCCAAAAGCTGGCTTCCCCAAAAGGTTGGGTTGGGTTCCCGTACATGCTGGCTAATTAACCTGCCTGGCTGCAAACAAACAACCAGTAAACTGGTAAACAAATAGAATGATACATCAAATTTCCTTATTGAACCGCTTACTCGCGGACCTTACAATTCAATCCATTTCATCCAAATCCTACGTGAACCCTCACATTGTTGGAACAGCAAAAAAAAACCAACCCCAAAACCCCCAATTAAATATATATATATATATATATTGTTGGGGGGATTTATTTATAATAGGGGGGGGGGCGTATTTATTAATAGGGGGAAGAGATTATAAAAACTCCTGAAAACATGAAATCCCAAATCCGAGCCCCAGGTTCTGCCACGTTGGCGGGGCGAGGGTGCTGTTCCTTCTCTTCATTTGTCACGAGAGTAGATGATTCAAGCCAAGGCTTTCGGTTTGCATTAAGACCTTCCCGGCACATTCTTTAAGAAGCTCTCTCCCATGAAGATTTGGCCAAAGTCCCAACTTGAGTCAGTAACTCGAATCGGCGAACTCTCCGCGCCGGATCCCTCTCAATGCAAGCGCCTTCTTTGCTGGCTTTGGCGGCCCGGCCATCGCTCCTCATCTCCTTCGACAAGCGAACAAATAGGGTGCCACTGTCAAAATCTCCACTGGACATGGAAAACATGGGCGGGTGTTCCTAAGAAAAGTGGAAAGCCTCCAGGTCCCTCCCAAAAGAATTGACAGCGCCTTCCATTTGGCATTCTGGGACCCCAGTGCGGCTGGTGTCTAGTGAATGAACTTCTCAGCTTCTGGGCCTGCAAGCCACAAGATGGGATCGCCCTTGAAAGCTTGAATTGCCAGCAAGGTTCGAATTACCCGTGTGTGTGTGTGCGTCTCTGTGTGTGTGTGGTGTGTGTGCGTGTGTGGTGTGTGTGTGCGTGGTGTGTGGTCTGTGGTGTGTGTGTGTGTGGTGTGTGTGTGTGTGTCTCTGTGTGTGTGTAGTGTGTGTGCGTGTGTGGTGTGTGTGTGTGTGGTGTGTGGTCTGTGGTGTGTGGTGTGTGTGTGTGGTGTGTGTGTGTGTGGTGTGTGTGTGTGTGGTGTGTGTGGTGTGTGTGGTGTGTGTGTGTGTGTCTCTGTGTGTGTGTGTGGTGTGAGTGTGTGTGTGTGTGGTGTGTGTGGTGTGTGTGTGTGTGGTGTGTGGCGTGTGTGTGTGTGGTGTGAGTGTGTGGTGTGTGTGGGTGTGGTGTGTGTGTGTGGTGTGTGTGTGTGGTGTGTGTGTGTGGTGTGTGTGGTGTGTGTGTGTGGTGTGTGTGTATGTGGTGCGAGTGTGTGTGTGTGTGGTGTGTGTGTGGTGTGTGTGTGTGGTGTGTGGTGGTGTGTGTGTGTGTGGTGTGTGTGGTGTGTGTGTGTGTGGTGTGTGTGTGTGTGTGGTGCGAGTGTGTGTGTGTGTGGTGTGTGTGTGTGGTGTGTGTGTGTGGTGTGTGGTCTGTGGTGTGTGGTGTGTGTGTGTGTGGTGTGAGTGTGTGTGTGTGTGTGGTGTGTGTGGTGTGTGGTGTGTGTGTGGTGTGAGTGTGGTGTGTGTGGGTGTGGTGTGTGTGTGGTGTGTGGGGTGTGTGTGTGGTGTGTGTGTGTGTGGTGTGAGTGTGTGTGTGTGGCGTGTGTGTGTGTGGTGTGTTTGTGTGTGGTGTGAGTGTGTGGTGTGTGTGGGTGTGGTGTGTGTGTGTGTGGTGTGTGCGTGTGTGTCTCTGTGTGTGTGGTGTGTGGTGTGTGTGTGTAGTGTGTGTGTGTGTGGTGTGTGTGTGGGGTGTGGTGTGTTGGTGTGGTGAGTGGTGTGTGGTGTGTGGTGTGTGTGTGTGGTGTGTGTGTGTGTGGTGTGTGTGTGTGTGCTGTGTATGTGTGGTGTGTGTGTGTGTGTGGTGTGTGTGGTGTGCGTGGTGTGTGTGGTGTGTGGTGTGTGTGTGGTGTCTGTGGTGTGTGTGTGTGTGTGGTCTGTGTGTGTGTGGTGTGTGTGGTGTGTGTGTGTGGTGTGTGTGGTGTGTGGTGTGGTGTGTGTGTGTGGTGTGTGGGGTGTGTGTGGTGTGTGTGTGTGTGGTGTGTGTGTGTGGTGCGTGTGTGGTGTGTGTGTGGTGTGTGTGGTGTGTGTGTGTGTGTGGTGTGTGTGTGTGGTGTGTGTGTGTGTGTGCGGTGTGTGTGTGTGTGTGCGGTGTGTGTGTGGTGTGTGTGTGTGTGTGGTGTGTGTGTGTGTGGTGTGTGTGTGGTGTGTGTGTGGTGTGTGTGTGTGTGGTGTGTGTGTGTGTGTGCGGTGTGTGTGTGTGTGTGCGGTGTGTGTGTGGTGTGTGTGTGTGTGTGGTGTGTGTGTGTGTGGTGTGTGTGTGGTGTGTGTGTGGTGTGTGGTGTGTGGTGCGTGGTGCGTGGTGTGTGTGTGTGTGGTGTGTGTGTGTGTGTGTGTGGTGTGTGGTCTGTGCGTGTGTGCGTGTGTGCGTGTGTTCTTGTGTGCGTGTGTGCGTGTGTGTGTGTGTGCGTGTGTGTGCGTGTATACGCGTGTGCGTGCGCGTGCGCGTGCGGGTGTGTGGTGTGTGTGGTGTGTGTGGTGCGTGTGGTGTGTGTGGTGTGTGGTGTGTGTGTGTGTGGTGTGTGTGTGTGGTGTGTGTGTGGTGTGAGTGTGTGTGTGTGCGTGTGCGTATGTCCGTGTGAGTGTGTGTGTGTGTGTGTTTGTGTGCGTATGTCCGTGTGTGGTGTGTGCTTGTGTGCTTGTGTGCTTGTGTGCGTGTGTCCGTGTGTCTGCGCTTGTGTCAGTGTGCTTGTGTTTTGAAGTAGACACACATCCATTTCCCCATACATCAACAACCCTACGGGAAACTTTGTAAACATACCCCGCTGCAAGGAAACTCACTTGCAACCTCTTCACATGTTGAAAGTCCATGGGAGTCTTCGAGCTGCACTTCCCCCATTTTTCCACGGATCCTCAGACTCGGAACCTGCCTCGCCCCGAGCGGACCCGCGGCTGACGCGGCTGGCCTTCCACAGGCGGCCGCGCTCCGTGTTGTTCAGCGCCTCGTAGCCGAAGATCTTGCTGCGCAGCTCCTTCTCCTGAACGGTCCACGTTGGAAGAGCACAAAATGCTTTTTTGGCAGTTAAGCGGGGATTTCCCACGAAACCACAATGAGCAAACATGTAAAATGTTTCCCAACAACAACCATGGAAATGGAACCGAGTGCCCAGACTTGGTAGCGACTCAGTTTTGGGGGTGGACCATCGAGGGGGCCCCAGGAGAAAGAGGGGTTTCATGGTGCGTGACCGGAAGCACATGGCACAAATTTTCCGGTAGATGTGGGTAAAGGGGATGAGTGGCCAGAATGGGGGAACTGTGCCATCTACTTTCACTCAACTGCCAGCGTTTCTCTGACAAAGTGGGATTACCATCGTCCCTCCAACTTCTTGGTTGCTTCAAAGAACCTAGGTATCAATGGCATCACAAATTGTGGCCCTAAAACTCGCAACTTCACCCAACCATGGATGTTCAGATTGAAATTCCCCTTGTGGGGTGTTTGGCAAAGGGAAACCGGAGGAACAGCACCCACTTTGGGCCACGTTGGGGGTTCCAGGAGACAAATCAAGGGTCATCTGAAATCTTCTCAATCCGCTCCGAAATGGATGACGCACTCATTGGCCGGGTGAAAAGTTCATCGGTTCACTGACTGTCTTAGACAAGCCTTGGACTTGGTTGATGCGGCAAATGACGTGTTGTGCGTGCAAACCTTTCTCAGAAATGCCCGTCCCAGAAAGTGACACAAACATACATGCAAACAAACACAAGCAAAAAGCTAGAACACCCTCAAACAAATAAATCAACCAACAAACCGGCGAACAAAGGAACAAACGAATGAACGAAAAAGCAACAAAGAAACCAAACCAACCAACCAACCAACCAACCAACCAACCAACCAACCAACCAACCAACCAACCAAGCAAGCAAGCAAGCAAGCAAGCAAGCAAGCAAGCAAACAAACAAACAAACGCAACAACAAACGTACAAACAAAAAAAAACAAACACAAGCAGGCAAGCGAACAAACACGCACAAACACACACACACACACACACACACACACACACACACACACACACACACACACACACACACACACACACACACACACACACACACACACACACACACACACACACACACACACACACACACACACACACACACACACACACACACACACACACACACACACACACACACACACACACACACACACACACACACACACACACACACACACACACACACACACACACACACACACACACACACACACACACACACACACACACACCACACACACACACACACACACACACACACCACACCCACCACACACCCTTCCACCCTTCCACCCTTCCACCCTTCCACCCTTCACCCTTCCCTTCCACCCTTCACCCTTCCACCCACACCTTCCACCCTTCCACCCACCCACCCACCCACCCACCCACCCACCACCCACCACCCACCACCCACCACTTCCACGCACCCACGCACCCACGCACCCACGCACCCACGCACCCACGCACCCACGCACCCACGCACCCACGCACCCACGCACCCACGCACCCACGCACCCACGCACCCACGCACCCACGCACCCACGCACCCACGCACCCACGCACCCACGCACCCACGCACCCACGCACCCACGCACCCACGCACCCACGCACCCACGCACCCACGCACCCACGCACCCACCCACCCACCCACCCACCCGCCCACCCACCCACCCACCCACCCACCCACCCACCCACGCACGCACGCACGCACGCACGCACGCACGCACGCACGCACACCCGCGCGCGCACACACACAAGTAATGACAAACAATGAGAACCAGTAAAGAAAACATAATGTCAAACAAGAATAACAAGAAGGCCACACAACGACAATGTCAATAACAATAACAATGACAATGACAAACAAAGAAAGAAACAAACAGACAAACAAACAAACAAACAAACAAACAAGCAGGCAGGAAAACAACAAACGAGCAAGCACCCACAAGCACACTGACAAACACACAAGATCAATGAAAGGTCGTGATTGATGTGGAGGAGGAGCTGCAAACAAATTCAATAATTAACACAATGCCCAAACCGAGGCGAGAACACCGCACACTTGGATCATGGATGCACAACTTGTGTCACACCGTTGAAAGAATGGTTGTGTCTCTAAATGCTAGACCTTGACAATGGGTCTTTCTCCTTGATTTCCTCTTGACACAACCCCGATAGATACATCGACAATGAAAAAACACACACACACACCCAACAAGCAATTCGCATAACTTCCGCATAAATAAGCAATGTGTTGAACATAAAGCGTGCTCCAACAAAGAAACGTTGTGCAAATCGAATCATCCCCCACTCGCCACTGCCTAATTTTAGTCCCCACTTCCGTGTCACGTCATGACTCAACTGTCGAGATCCTGCCTGTCTACAAGCCAAGTCCTTTTCTCCCAAAATGAAACCTCATCACTGGGATACCCTATCAACATCAACCAGTGGTATGCTGGGCTCCCATGTTAACAGAGGTGTTACCCCAAGAATGAACCTTTGTCATATGTTCAAACTGAGGACGGAGGCTTCTGCACTGTCCGAAACGGGCAAAATTATATAACTATGTATGTCTCCCCAAAAGGACTAAGTCGGAAAAATGCATTCGTGGACAACTTGGGTTGTTTCCGCATGTCCACCCCAAAGCGACACAGTTGACTACAAATAATATGATCAGGGACTCAAATGGTTTCTCCCACTACTTTACCCAACCGAAGGGTACACAATCTGTTCAGCTTGTTTGTCATACTCAGTAAACCTTGCAAAATATACGGAGGAAATCTCCGCAAGCCAACTACCAATACCATGATCTGTGCCTCACTCACATTGGGGGACCTTATACCTGACGTCACCAGCAGTCAACAAACAAACACGCCTTTATGCCGAAGACGGAAGACTCGTAGCACTCCGGGTGGATAAAGAGGGTGTAGGCCTCTTCCTGCGCCCTGCGCGCAGGGATGAGCGATTCAGCTTGCTAAAACCATGAGTTTAAACACCGACAGTCATCCTAGCCATAAGGAAATGGCTAGGATCTGCTTTGACCCTGTGCTTCAATCATAATCCTTTCGACTTCCCTTCAAAGGGACCGGGTGGTTGTGTAAGCGATGGCCCAGGGAGCAGGTCACTCTTTGGTCGTTTCCAACCAAACTCCGTGCTTTTCCACCTTGTGATTGAATGGTGTCAGCATCGGTCAAAAAAACAAAACCTGCCTTTCGGGTGGATGGTACGCCTGGATGTGGTGATTCAACAATCGCTAAGATTTCCTTGCACTTGGTTGCTGTAGCGTCTTGACAGCTGCAACTCTTTTGCTTCGTTCTCTTTTCAACTCACAAATCCAGCAATGTCTGAGCCCCAAATTGGTCGCTCCCCTCAGTGAGGTCGATCGCTTCAACTTGCCGAAACAGGCAGCTGCCTATCACAGACTCCCTTTACACACCAAAAGGTGTTCCCTCTTAATCGCTCCTAACCACCATCCACAAAACGGCGTTGTTGTCATTTTATTTAAGGAAGCCCTTGCAGATATCAGGAAAATCTACAATGATTGCAAAACACTAACCTTTTAATTGTATCTCTGTATCTCCTAGTAAAACACCTACATCATGGGTGACATTGCTTGGATTGTTTTCCTCGATGGAAACGCTCGAAAGAAATACAGAGTTAATTACGCAGGCCGCCCTCTCCCCTCGCCCACCGGCTACACCAGTCTGAAAGTAGCGTGTGCGTGCCGGGTACAGTCAAGGATGACTAAACAACAAACATGCGCCATGTGCTTTCACGGCACCTCCAGCGGAATGGATAGCCCAATCTCAGCTGGCCCTTCTCAATCTCTTCCCCGCAGCGCCGGCACCGTGCGCGCCCCGTGGGGGCGTACTGGCCTACGAGGCTGGTTTGGGTCCTGCTCCTGGTGAATGACCCTGGCCTATCCAGGCAATACGACGGGCTTTGGAGGTATACCACCAATAAGCTTGTAACGCAATTTCTACCCCTTATAATAGAAGTAGTATAACCTCCATACCTCCAAAATAATACCAATGTCCACGTGCGGTGTACTTTGCAAAGGCCAATGTTTGTCGTAATTGTTTCTCGCTAAACACTAATTGGTAACCCTTTGTGGAAATCATTTAGGTGGGAATTTATGTCCACCAACCACTATTGAGGGGATGACGAATTGGAATCCATTGCCATATTGTGATAGCTAACGCAGGCAAGAAACGGTGCCGACAACCAAGTGGACTCCCTGTGTGTTTTTGGTCAGGCTGATCAAGGGGGTGCAACCCCAACAAGCATTGGGTAAAGTAATATTTCAATCATGCATCAGCCCGGAGCCAAGAGTTCTTATGCAACGAGCCTTAACTATGGTTAAGATTGCAAGCGACAACCTATGTCAGGTCGGTAGATTTGTTCACAATAAATACATATATATATACATAGGGTTATCATTTTTTGGGGGTCCTTATCGTTCGACTGGGTTTCGTGCAGTTCGGACATGCAATTCAACCCTCTTGATAAAGTTGTCTTCGTAGGTTTTGACCGTGGCTCACATGGATTTTACGGCAGTGTGGCAATGATGAGAAGTATTGAATTGAGATGTTCAATGCCCCAGCTCCAACCAACGCTAATTAGGCCCAACGAATTATTCATAACAAACAAGATTGAGGGAGGAACTTGTAAAAGGATGCTGATCGTGAACTAGATGGCACAATTCCCTTTCTGTCAGCAAGTAAGGGGGATTGACTGCAGCTGCTGAAGTCGAGCTGCACTTGGTTGAGCAGCACCATAATGCTCACCGGCAACAGTAAACTGCCCCCAAGTATGGCTAAATTTCCCCAACACCAATAATGAACTACCTTCAGCAATTTTGAACTGTTTGACACAAACAAAACTCCTGGTGAACGAACAACTTGAAACAACTATCAACACGTATTACCGCGGCATGGTTTCGAATTAATTTCACCTTCCTCAGCTGACACACAATTTGATGAGCTCCCTTCAGAATAGCCAATTTTGACTCAGAATCAGATTCGTGGACTTCTACTCCGAGGGGACTTGACTGGTTTTGGCTTGTCTTTGTTCAGGGTCAAGGGTCTGGGCGCTGGCCCTGATTCCAATTGGCTTTGCATGGATTGAGCAGACCTGCATTCAACAAACATGGCATGACCCTTATCCCCGCTGGGTTTGCATGGGTTTCCGAATTCTTGGGCCACGACCTTTATTAAGCTGGTTATTCAAACCCTTAACAAAAAAAACCTTCACCATGGCAGCAAGGCTACCCCCCCTGAAACCCCATGCACCAAATAAACATCAGGCCCAAAATAAAGCTAAGCTGATTTTCATCAACCGCCTAAAAATACTAATCCAGTTTGTCTTAATTCAGGGGCAAGGAGTCCATTCAACAAGGCTCATCATAGATGTGTTTCCAATTATCCCGTGATCCCAAATTATGTCATTGAATCATTCATTCAAACCCTTCAAGAGTCAACCATTGACCCTGACAACAAGGCTACCCATTAAGACTCATGCACCAAATAAACATCAGACCCTGGAAAAAGCAAAGCTGATTCGCACTGATCCGAAAAACTCTCGGATCATCTCACTATCTGTATTCATACAAGAACTCATCAAATTCATGAACGCTTGATCCAATACGAGTTTAGCATTGGCCCTAGACTACATCAGCATTCCCTAAAGCAAAATCAGAAAAAGAAAAAAAAACATGCCCAATACTCACTTAGCATTGTCCCGATACTAAAACCGTAATCCATCCAAAGACATCCTTCCCCCCCCCCTAAACACAACATCTCAATACAAATTTGGTACTGACCAAATCCTAAATGCGATATCTAAAACAACAAAATCCTCCATGAACTTGTTGCTTAAAGTTAAATTATAGTTTCAGAGCAAAAAGAATCACCCTAACAGTATCGACCCAAATACTAAAATGGAATTCAAAAACAAAAGGCACGTGCAATACTAACGTAAGGCTTGCCCAATACAACTCCCCCTATTTATATGCTCCAAGCGGCAGAAGAGCACGCAAGAGACGGCGCGCTTCTTGTCTGACTTGTTCAGCTTGCTGTACTCCTTCTCGCCTTCGGGCGATGGCTAGGCGCGAGATCCAGTGCCCGGGGCACACGTTGCATCTGTACGAGTGAGAGCCAAGCTCAAGGTTACCGCTTAAGGGTTCTGATGAGACAAGTGATCTGAACAGTTCACAGGATGAAAAAATGGGAAACTGGCCTATGGCACAGGGGATCACAGGGGCCAGGTCAGGAACTTCGCAACACAAAGCCTTCGAGCCCACTAACATGGAACCGACATGCGCTGAACAGGTTCCAGGATCTCACAGACCTCAGCTGAAAGTGAAGTTTGGGAGATGGTCCCCATCCCCAACCCAACTAAGACCCCTTTTGGGCGGCTAAACTCCCATCTCGAGGCGTTTTGACGACAGCTATGGGGTTGATTTGATTTGTTTTGTGGGTGGCTCTGCAGGTGTCTGGTTTCGGTTCGACCAAGGCTCCGGGTTCCCGGTGGGATACGTGACTTCCCTGAAGCTAGTGCCCGAACAATAGAGCCCAAGGCTAACCCAAAGGCCAACCGCTCTTCTCCCCGCCGCAAATGGCTGCATGAGCGAGCCACTTAACCCCACGGCAGGGGTTGAAGAGGGCTAGCACCTCTTCCTGTTGAGCTAACCAGGCAGAAAAAATGGTCACTCGTGCTAGGCCGTTATGAAAATGAAGACACCGGGTTGGAGCAAAGGTGGCTGTAGTAAATGGAGAATGGAGAAACCAACATAAGGTCGGTTGAACAACGGCGCTTTAGGAGATACCCACCCACAAGCCTGAAAATTGCCCTATTGGCAGGGTACAACATGGAAGCTTGTTGAGCCAGAAAGAAAAACATATAAACAAAGAACAAACAAGGCTTGATCATCTTCAGCATTGACTTGACACTCCAAGTCCGGCAAACCCCCTTGCCTGGAAGATACCCCAAAACGCACTTGGGGATTGTAGACCACCCGCCAAACGCACGAATCCGGCTTGGGCGTTGGGTCGTGGCAATTGGCCATACCCACTTCCAACGAACTTAAACGGTGAACGAAGTGTTGGTTTCCTTCACCAAAAGCTCATGACAGGTCATTGGCCTGCAAGTGTCCATCAAGTCCCCCTACAGCGAACTTGTTCAAGACCCACCAACTACTCAACCACAATACACACACAATTTAATACAATTATAGTATACAGCAGGGTTGTTCTAACCACCGCCTTTGTTTCGAAACAGCCATTCTTCGGAAATGTCAACAGTAACTGTTGAGAACTGTATTCATCACCCTTCACTTCTACTTGCTGGAGTTAGAAGGCGTGTTGCCCGAAACAAGCAAACTACGAAGTCAACAGAGGGTTTAATTCAGCTACCTAGTAGGAGGGTTCTACATGTCAGTGACTTGCAAGGCAAACGCTTTCGCGAAAGTACCTCAACCGACGAAGATGGTCATCGAATTTATAATCCTTACAAGAACCTTTAGAACAATTCCAAATATGCACACACGCGAAGCTTGTTCGCCAAGGTTATCCTTTTGATGGCGGCCGCTTGCTGGAGCACGCGGCGCAGCAGGGTCTGGTTGGCAAAGGCCTGGAGCACTGGCAGCAGGCAAGCTGGGGGATGGCCCTGCAAGGTCCAGACTTCGAACTTGTGGGAGGAACCGTCTCCGGTGCTCCTCAGACTCCGGCGGCAGAGCGCAGAGCTCTTTGGCAGTGCGTCATCCAGCGCGGGCGTCGCGGCTGACATGTTCCTTGACAACAAGGCCTTGGTGCGGCGACTTCATAGAGGGTTTGACCGTGGTTCATGGCAGGGGGCTCACCCGGCCTGGCTGGAGATCAGGCAAGCCGTGGTTTTCTGGTTGCCTCTCATGGGAGAAGGGCGGTGAATGCCATTGCTGCGAGGTGTTCCGGGGTCCTTTTTGATTTTCGGGAGCAGTGCGATGACGCAGTGGCTTTGGCTGCCACCGAATGGAGGGCTGCTGTGCAAAGGCAGCGTGAGCAGAGCGAGTTTCACGATGTGATGAAGCAGACACATCCCGGTTTTCTCTAAGTCATGATGTGATGTGGATGGTGGGCCACCCCTTTCTGCGCTTTCTCCACGGTGGTAGGCGTCTCACCTTCCCTTTGGGGGGTGCAGGTTGGCATCGAATCAATGACAATGACAAATTGAAGGAAATTGAGGGGTTGGTGCAGTCCCGCCCACTTCGCCCTCTCTTTCTGCTTTGTTCCGAGGCGCCGTACCAGGCCTTGTTTTCCGCATCGTACCACGCGGGGCTGACCGGCGTGGGCAGCAGGCTGCTCTTGGAGCTTTGGCCCTCATGCGTCAAAAACTTGTCCAGCCTAAGCTCGTCCGGCGGGTGCCGTGGAGTTCCGAGGGAACCCTTTGGCGAAACATAGGTAGCCTTGTGCTTTCAGACAAAAAATGCCGTCAGGAGCCGAACTGGAAGCAGCGCCCTTTTTTTGTCACGGCTAAACAGGCAGCAACTCATGTTCAAAAAGGTCACATGTCTGGCTGGTGCTTGGAAACCTTCAATTTGCTCATTTGCTGGTAGAATTGCAGCACATATTGCGATCCAGAGTGCGATCCATCCCTTAGCCAACTAGATGTTTTGTGGCTGTTTCCTAGAAGTACAAGGTCTCTTTTAAAAGCCCGGGAATTGAGCGTGCAGACCCTGCATGCAAATGCCAGTGTGTCACAGATGCATGCTGCTCTGCTCGTGTTCCGGAAGCTCCTGGAACTAAAATTCTGGCAGGCGTGATGTCAGCAAGCTCTTATGCTAACAGTTGCGGCTTCAAATGCCACACGGAAGAGCTTAGCCTTCAACAAAAGCAGGGCACCGCCTCAACTTCTGCGGCAACAGAGATCTTGTGACTGCAGACGCGACCACAAACCAGCAGGGCAGAACAGGTGCCAGCAACCAAGGCGAATGTGCTCGCATCAGTCAAAAGCCTGCAAAGAGTGCAAGGAATACAACCAAAAGGCGATTGTGCGTTCCTATAATACTGAACAGGTCACCAGAAAGCCAAAACCTTCCTGCGAGGGAAATCGGGAAATCAGGCCCCTGGCTGCAGATCACTGGGATCCAGTGGTACCATCCTTGCTGCAACGACTCCTCTGCAAAAAGTGGAAAACTTTTTGGGTGTTTAGCGGAAAACCCAACTGGATTTCAACCAAAAGTTAACGTCTAAAGATTCAACCCAATGGCAGTCAAGCATCCCCCACCCCCACAGCCCTTCCCGTCGAAGACAAACTCCCTGGAGCAACCCCCAGAACGCGGGCTGGGCGGGTTGTGGCGTGCACAGGGCAAGTTGGGTGTAGACGGGGCGGGGCCCACCATAAAACCTTCGCATTGTGGGTTTGTCGGTACGTGGGGTTTAGATTGGCTGATTGGCTCATGAAATGATGGTTCAACTTGGGGGAGCTCTCCTATCTGGCTAAAGCGGATGACACAAACCCTTCCCTCTTCCCCAATTCAAAAGCGAGTTGACGAGCAAAGGCTGGGAAAAGCTGAATAAACTTCTGGGGCGTTGGCAAAAGTATTCAAAGAAAATCAGCCAAACAAACACAGCAGCCGTACTTCATTGCGCTAACTTCATAGGCATCCAGCTTGGAATCAGCTACCCAGCGCAATGTCTCAGCTCTCTCCGCCCTGCAAGAAAGGAGCTGAGCAAACTCGGCCATGCCCTTTGCCTTGCCTGCGCAAAAGGCACAAACGCGAAGATCCTGCGACGGCGCGCATGGTGAAATGTAGTTGGAAGGTCCTGTTCATGCAAATCATGTTCCCGGCGCCCAAGTACCTCTTGGTGGTTTCAAGGAGGCGTTCAGTTCTCTCCAATGACATGAGAAAAGGCTGATCTCGTGTCAATTTTCAGGAAACACACAACAGCAATCACCTGGACTCCCGTTTTAATCTTTAACACATTGACTACCGTCCATTTGGCAGTAGTCCCGCAAATGAAAAGGCAGTAGTTGGCCAAAACTACCGTTGTTTCCCACGCAAAAACCCGAGCTTGTATCCCTTACCACTTCCCAAGCCCCGACACACAGGTGACACGCAGGTGACACACACAGGTCACACGCAGGTGGCACGCAGGTGACACGCGGTGACACGCAAGTCCATGCGTGTCACGACGTAGAACCTGCTTGCCACTGCGTGTCACTGACACGCTGTCACTTGCGAGTCACGACCATGGGCATCCCGCAACAGAAAAAAGGGCAGTAGCTTTGCCAACTACAATCTTGTTTTGGACATTTCTACTCGGAGGTGCTGGCTGAGACTTGGCTTAGTTTAAACACGGAGAAGTCCTTAACTTTGGATTGCTGACAGGCTGGAGAAAATAAAAACAGACATGAATACCTTGCTTAAATCTGAATTATGGGATCAAAACCCTGTTTTGACAAATTATATAATAAAAACCAGGGCTGGGAACAGCTTGAGGTTTCAACCTGTTTCAGCAAGGCCCTTGGGAACCCCCGCAAGGCCTGTGCAATACCCAGTGGATCCATTTCCCTGAATAGTAGAGAGCCAAAAGGAACCAGCTTTTCAAAACCAATCGTACCCTATGCGTCATAGGGACCCACTGGGATCCCGTCACGGATTTGTTTTCTCTAGCTTTCCGCGTCCAAGCTTGCTATCCCTGCCTCTCCGGTCGTCGCCCGACGGGTCCGCCGCTCCCTCACTGGGAGCCGTCTGAGCCAAAGCAGTCAAAAAATCGATGCCGCAAGCCAAAAGGGACAATTCCACAAGGTCATGCCCAGGCACCCTACATAATTCTCCTTTAAACTTCCCCCGCAAGGAAGCTCTCTTTAAATAGCCCTCCAAAATGATGGTTAACACCACCAAAAAGAGGAATGTCCTAGCCGAGGGGATTGAACCGCGCGAACGACGATCCATCAGGCCGTGGGCTACGAATCATAATCCCCATGGATCATTCCCGCGCTTGTTTTGTTCTCCTCTAATGGATCAAACTGTGAAGCGAGTCAGCAGTTCTTGCTGAGCCTCGCTGAGTCGAGTCTCCCACTATACAATGATCGAAAGCTCTTCGAAAGACCACCGCGCTGGCGGCCATGCTTGCGAGCTTGTGGACATGAGTTCCGTCGCCCTGGCCAAGAGAAACTTCGTAAGTGCGTCCATGCTCCCATGGTTTTCAGCAGGCCTCAAATCATCTCAGATCCGGTGGCCCAAGTGGGTCTGCTTTTGCCATTTTGAGGTCCCTGACTTTTTTTGGTGTACACCCAATGTCATACTTTCTGATTCTACTTCATATGTCGTCACTCCTTACCAGTTCTAGGTTTTCCCTCGGAGTGCGCGTTTTGACGAATGGGAGCCCCTTTGCTGCTCAATAAAACGCCAAAACAACAATCAACAGGTAGGGTGGCTCAAGGACATTGAACTTTGCTCAAATTAACATCATCTCATTCTGTGATACTAGAGTAGTTGATTCCCATGATTACTTTATCACCAAAACTGCGCCTAAACCAAAATTGCAGGCTAGGTGGCGGCACCCGACTTTGCATGGTGTCAGCCGTCTCGCGAATGTTCGCATGGGAAATTGGCATGCTGCCTTGCGCCATGATTGCCCAGAGGACCTGCTGCTACGACTGGAAACTAGTCTCAATAGATTCAAGGGCTGCCAACAAGGGCCTGGAAGCCTCTGCAAATCCGTCAAGTAGGCGGTCAAGCGAAGCCACTTGTTTGAGCCGTCATTCTGTGCGATGCTGCTGACGCAGAAAGATCCACCCCCTGAAAATCCACACACCCCTCTGTGCGCTGAAGGGCCTTTCGCAAAGCATCCAAACATCTACACACAAAGGGGCACGTCGGGACTCCCAAAAGTGGTGCACGTTTGGCGGATGTGAATGTTGCACTCGTGCGTGAATCTCGCGCATGACGTTGTCTTCGGGCTCGTAACCAGTTTCCACTCATCCCAACGGTGTGCTCGGCTGGGTTGTGGCTGTGTCCTTCTCCGGACGCTTCGTGGTCGGCTGCTTCATTCTGAGCAAGCTTGCGTTCCGACTGCTTCTTGGCAAGCTCAAAAGATCCTTGCGCTGGACCAATGGTCATGTGCACGTTCGGCGCACTCGTGAAAGTTCGTTGGTTTGCCTTGCTACAGAATTAGTTAAGCTGCTTTCCTCCAAATTCAATGGTTCGGGCAAAGATGGCGTGTGCGAGATGCGCGACACACTTGTCCACTGAGGACGCAGGCAACACCAACAGCAGGTTGGGCCATGAATTGCTCTGGTGCAGAATCGGATTGCTCTGTCAAGGTGCCTGAGGAGCTCCATCTTGGCCATGTTGTGGAAGGCACGTCCGGCCTCGTCCATCCTTGTTCCATGTTGCGCGTCCCACTCTAAACGGTTTAATACGCCGCCGTAGGCAGACCTGTTAGCACTCGCGCGCAGGCATGCGCAGTGCTGGACACGCCACCAGTCACAGACACTTGCCCTGTCCAGCGGAAACATGCTAGTGGCTTTAGTACCAATAGACCCGGCGAAGCCGGCTAGCGGAAGCTCCAAACATATGAGAACTCAAGTTATGTTTCTCTTTCTGGTCTTCTCTGTTTCACTTGCTCTTTCTGCTTATTCTTCTCCTCTTTCTTTTGATGTTTCCTCTCTTTCACTTCTCTTTATCCTTCTCTTTCTCTTTTTCTTTAGCTTTCTCCTTCTCTTTCTCTCGCTCTTCTCTTTCCTTCCTTTTCTCATTATCTTTCTCTTGTTTGTCTTTCTCTTTTGCTTTCTCTTCTCTTGCCTTTTCCCTTTCTTCTCCTGTTGCTGGCTACCAAA